CGTGGAAAAACTCATAGACCTTCTTAGTACCATAAAAGGGCCCTGAGTGCAGCCCGACATGCCCAGCCCATCTCTGGGAGCATCCCCACTCACATCGAGAGCATGAGGAGGGCACAAGCCACATTCCACTGTGGACACACCTTTACTGTCTTGTAGGTGGTGGCACCCACGGGGCTACCTGGGAAAGCACCGCTGCCTCAGAAGGCTTTCTTTCACCAGGCTCTCACAGTCACCCACTCCCACAGGTGTGGGAGTGCTCCCACAGGCACCCACGCCTCACAGTCATTAGAGAGAACCTTGTTCAGGAGTGTGCTAATCTCATCTCAGGGGAGACGAGAAGGGAATGTGCTCTTGGCAGAGGGGTTTTATACGCTGGGACAGCAAAGGTCTACATGGAAGAGCTGTTCTCTGTTCAGGACAAGGCCCTCCAGAGGCTGCTCTTGAGGATGTGCTCGGGCTAATCACATCAAGCCTGGAACACTGCAGTCTCCCCAGGAAGAGGTGTGTCGGGCACTCGGGAAGTCACCGCACGAGAAAACCTAGCGGATAGAGAATGCCCACTGCCCAGATTTTGGCATTCGGGTGGGCAGAGTGCCTGCTGATGGAGCTTGGCTCTCACTGTGTAATGGACGCCTTGGAAGACGGACACGTCAGACCCGTTATCAAACAGACGGGAAGTAGAGGGGACGCTTTTGAGCAATGACAGGGCTTCTCTAGTGACCCAGAAACAAAGGGCCATCCTTGTAATGCCAATATGCTGCTGGTGGTGTGTGCCTCCGGGTCATGGAGTGTGTGTAACACCGTGCAAAGAAGTAAGAATGAATGTCACCCAGAGAGCCGGGGAACAGTGTGTGTTGGGTGTGCACGGCGCCCGTATCTAACAAATGAGGTATTTTGAAGAACAGGAGTGAAGGAAGGCCTCAGGACACTGTATCATAGCAAAAGGGGATGTGCTGGCCGTGTGGCGAGGGTAAGGAAGCGAAGGTAGACAGCTGGATGCTCTGCTGATGTCCTTGAACATCAGGGGCGGCCACGGGGCCCCTGGCCATGTTGTGATGAGAGATGCCCATGGTGTGCGGGCGCGGACGGGTCGTGGACAGTGGGTGGAGGGAACAATGAATGGATAAGATGGGAGACCCTTGAGTATCTTGGGAAAAGCCAACATTCCGGTCCTCACCACAGCCCTGGGAGCGCAGTAGCACAGGGATTATTATCCACATGTTACAGATGGTGAAACTGAGTCTCAGAGAGCTGGAAGGACTTGCCTACACAGTTAATAAATGTTGATGGTGGAATTTGAATCCAAGTCTTGCCTGACTCCTAGTCCTGTGCCCTTTCCACTCCATCATACTGTTATCTCGTAGGAATGACTGGCAGTCCATTTGAAACACAAAATATGTAAACAGATTCTTAGGTTTTGGTAAGGCACAGAGGTTCGTTTCTGTTCGTGGCTGCTCTCATTGAAGTTGGCTGTTTGTATGTGTATTTTCCTGACATCATTAGTTTTGTTCTGTTTTTGGAGGGAGAAAGAAAAGCAGATAGATTTTCTCCTGTTGCCTTCTTGTATAGCCAGTTTCCAACCACTCAGCAAACGTTTATCCAGCACATGCTCCGTGCCGTCATTGTGCCAGGCACTGGGGATGGGAAAAGTCCCTGCCCTCAAAGACTGGTGGCCTTTGAGGGGAAACCGCACGTGTCCTCACAGGGGCGCACGGAATAAATGACTGGTCGTTGTCTTTTGTCTCAGAGAGGACTAGCGTGACGGCACTATGCTGGAGTTTCAGCGCGTCCGACCGTGGCTGATCAGAGCAGTGTGAGCTCAGAAGGCTGTCCCATGGCTCGGGCACAAATAGTCCACGTGGACGTTTGAGGTGCACTCTCCAAATTTGTGCATCTCACGTTTCTTTGAGCTACTTCAATTCTGCTTTGCTGACAGAGCGCAGCACCTTCTCTGATGAGGGAACGTCATGCTGGGTGGTCCTGTGCCAGTGTGGCTTCTTTTTTTTTTTTTTTTTTTTTTTTTTTTTTTGGCAATTGGGGTTAAGTGACTTGCCCAGGGTCACACAGCTGGTAAGTGTCAAGTGGTTGGTCTGAGGCCGGATTTGAACTCAGCTCCTCCTGACTTCAGGGCCAGTGCTCTATCCACTGTGCCACCTAGCTGCCCCAACCAGTGTGGCTTCTTCTGACCACCATGGGAGGGCTTGCCCTGTGTGAGTTCTCCATAAAATAATCTTTTTGGCGAGCATACATTTTGTGTTCAAACAACGTGGCCAGTCCATTGGAGTTGCACTCTCTGCAGGAGGGTTTGAATGCGTGGCAGTTTAGTTCGAGAAAGGACCTCAGTATCTGGTATTTTATCCTACCAGGTGATCGTCAGAATCTTCCTGAGACAATTCAGATGGAAGTGATTCAGTTTCCTGGCATGGCACTGATACACTGTCCGGGTTTCACAGGCATACAACAATGAGGTCAGCACAATGGCTCTGTAAACCTTCAGTTTGGTAGTCAGTCTAATACCTCTTCTCTCCCACACTGTCCTTCGGAGCTTCCCAAACACTGAGCTAGCTCTGGCAATGAGTGCATCAACATCATTTTCATTGTGCACACCCCTAGAAAGCATACTGCCAAAGTAAGTGAACTTACAGCATTCAAAACTTTTCCATTTGTTATAACTGATGGCTCCATGTATGGATGGTGTGGTGGTGGCTGATGGAGCACCTGTATTTTCTTGGTGTTAATTGTTAGGCCAAAATAATCAATGTAAGGTGTATTGATAAGGGGACCACTGCTGGCGGGGAGGGAGGCTGTCCAGAAAGGCTTCATGCAGAAGGTGGGGCTGGGCTGAGTCCTGAAGGGAGCTGGAACGTCCATCCGTGTTGGTAATGATATTGGAAGGGTAAGTTAGAGCCAGGTTCTAAAGAGGTTTAGAAGCCAGTCTGTTTATATATTGCCATGGAGGCAGCCACTGGGGTTTATTAAGTAGGAGAGTGACCTCGTCACATCTCCAATTAAGGAAAAATCACCCTCAGCAGCCATGTGCAGGCTGGGGAGCCCTGTAATAGTGTAGGGAGAGGCAGTGAGGGCCTGCACTAAGATGGCTGCCGTGTGCATGGAGGGTCAGAGACGGGCTGTGGGTAGAGGCAGAAATGACAGGTTTTTAGCTGCTAGTCTTTTTTCCTGAAATTAGTCACTAGAATGTTTCTCCTTTCCTTTCCCCATTTTCCATGAAATGTGCTTTAGATCACATCATTATACTCTGTTTGGCTCTTAATTTTAGGATGCAGAGAAACTGAGTGACCCAAACTTATAAACAGTCAGTGATCATTATCTGTGACTGATCTGTCAAATCAGAGCCTTATCCTTGTTCTGAAAGGAGCTCCTTGTGAGAAATGCCCTTTACCAGTGCAGATTGGCCTTTGCATCTGAGAGCCTTAGTGAGGTCCAGGGCCACCCAGGCCAGATGTGTCAGTGGCCAGCCTTGAGGCTGGGCTTGCCACCTTCCAGACCATCTGCACTTCCACACAGCTGGACTGCTGCTCTGTGTAGGGTGGGCACTTCATGCATTATCATCTTCACTTTGTAGCCAGGAAAACTGAGGTCCAGAGAAGGCTGTGTATGAGATGTGTGTGTGTGTGTGTGTGTGAAATTGCTTGTTATTCGGTGACTTGCCCAGGGGCATGGCAGGTAAGTGTTGGAGTGGGGAATGAACCCATCGACTTGATTTTCTGACTCCTGTGGTTTAGCAGGATTTCTAACTGTTACGAGATTCTTTTTATCATGAAAGGAGGATGTTCCCTGGGCAGGTTTGATTAACATTCATTTTTAAGGAGCGTTATCAGCCCCCAGTTGATTCAAAGCTGGTAGCTCCTTTGTTAGGTGGACAGGGGCTTGTGCCATTGCCTAATGGCATGTTTGTGGTGGTAACAGTGGCCATTGGTGCCGTCCAAGGGTGGTCTCTCCAGAAAAAGCACCACGGACCCCCTAGGCTTGGTGCGAGTCCAAGTTCCCCTAGGGAGTCATCCTCAGAGCAGTTAAGATGGCCTGGCACATCCCTAACGATGGCTTCCTCCTTACTATTTGGTGAATTAGGAATTGGGGCCCTTTCTACAGAGGGCCTTTGTCTGTGGCATTCATTTGCACTACTTAGAAGAGCTGGAGAGACTTGTTTTCCTTTCTGAAATGAAGTTAAAGTGATTTTTTTGCTGTTACAGGTATTATTACCTGACAAGAAATACTTTCATAAATATATGGATATCCTAAGGCCTTTTTTAAAAAGAAAAAAGTCATGATTTTCAAAACACAGTAAATAAATACTTTCAGAAGCAGGCAGCTTGACTTCTGTCGCTATTATTTTACCATGGTTAGTCTTGACAATCATCTATTATGTGTCTCTTTTACTTAATTAAAAATTAAAAATAGTCCCACCAAAATCATGTTGTTCTTTAAGAGAAAAATAGTATTTGAAAGAAAAGGTATACCAGAGGGATTAATGAATTTTATAAGTAGGCTTAGTGTGACTTTTGCTTCAGTGAGAGAGTATAAGGCCCCAGCTGGACTATCTATTTCTTATCTGATCTTGGGTAAATCTTTGGACCTTGCTGGGTCTTGTTTGTAAAAATGAAGGGAAAGGCTGGCTTGAGGATGTCTTAAGGCCCTGTCTAGGGCTAATTCTGAGATCTTCCTGTTTTGGAAAATTAATGTTTGCAGGGTCCTGGTCAGTCTAAGTGTGTTCCAAAATAGCTTTCTCTTTAATGAATATTCCAGTGGAAATGCCATAGGGAAGATCCTTGGTATCTGTTTAAAAGAACAAATCCATTTGGAGCAGGAGTGAAAGGAAAAGGACAGTCAGGCGAGTTGCTGACATTTATCGGTGCCTGTGAGAAAAGTTCTCCTTCTTCCCTTAGGAAATCCAGCAGCTTTATGAGCAGTTTGGAAACTTCATTTGATCTTACGGGTTTCCTTTGAATGTGTGTCCTTTCTATTTCTACATTGTCTCACAGGGCAAATGGAACTTGATCAGCCTCACGCGTTCTCCAGAAGAGGGCAGCCTCGAGCAGAGGACAAAGATGAGTAAGTCTGCTAGAAACGGCGCCATCTCTCTCTCTCTCTGGGAAGACTTGATGTTGTTGTGGAAATGATAACGTAACAGAAATAATTTCCTCATAGGGCTAGGTACTATTAAGCCTTGTTAAAATAACAGTGTCTATCTTCTTAATAAAATTTAACCATTAGAAAAGAAAAATACCATGATTGTATTCTATTTTGATGTGCTCACCTCCTAGGTTATAGCTACTACAATTTTGAGATTCACTAGTCCCAGATCTCAATCCTGTGGCTCGCATAGGTTTCCTGAGGAAGAGCCTTCTCTGGAGGCTTACTTGGAGGGGAAGGCATGTGCTCTACATTGCAGAAATGTTAAGATGCAGCCGAGGGGCTTTAAGAGAGAGCTCCCAGTGCATCCAGGACAGCAAAGAGGGCCCTGTGAGGAAGCTGAAAGGCCTCTGCAAACCCAGCATCTTCACCACTGCTGCCCTTCCTGTGCTATTTTTGGAGTAAGGCACTGACTGCAGAAAATCTCACAATGTGTTGCCTGGAGAAGTGATGCATTAACGTACTTCCAGTAAAACCAGAAGTTTAAAACTAAGATGAGCTGTTATCGACTGAGGGCGAAACCAGTTAACCATGAGGAGAAGGAGGAGCTATAATGAAGTAGAGTTTTGGTTCAATGTAAAAAAACCTTGGTTTCTGAGTAAATGATATATAAGTGATAACTCTCCTCAGTAAATAATAGCTCCCATTTCTTATAGTTGTAAAGTACTTTAACATTCATTTTCTTGTTTGATGTTTTGAATCTCCTCCTCCTTCCACAAGGCAAGAAGACAGATATTATAAATGAAGGAGATAATGGATGAATGAATGAAGCTCTTCCTGTGTGTATGCCAAGTGCTGGGGAGACAAGTAGAAAAGTAAAGACAGTCTGTGCTCTCAAGGGGCTCTTGTGGGAGGTGATGGTCGAAACAACAGCTGCGGGTCCAGTGGAAAGGAAGGTTCCATGGTCCTTAGGGTACTGTAGCAAGGCAGATGGTCCAGCCTCTTGTTTCATGTCATTTCCTCTGACAAAATCACGTGAGCTTCTGATGTTAAACCAGTGAACAGAACCAGGGACATCAGTGGCAAGAACTTTCTGTTGAGGGTCTCCAGTAGCCGGGGCTGCAGCCTCTGCAGGAGCAGTGACCAGGCTGCATCTCTATGCTTCCCAGGATGATGGCTGGGGGCCCTGGGCTGGAAGCATTGGTGTTCCCAAGGCCCTAGGGTTCAGGGTCCTGGGTTCATTATGTCAGGATCTAAAGGGAGACGGTGGCCAAGAGGATTGTGATGGTGGACTATGCCTGGCACATGCTACCTCCTGTCTATCCTTCAGGATGCCTGGCTGCTTCATCTAGGTTGGCCTGCCCTGTGAGTGGCAGTCATTGGCAATTGGTGGGGAAGGCTGGACCTTTCTCCCCAGAAGCAGTGGCTGAAAGTAAGACTAGTGGTATGGAAGGTACTGTCATTGTTGCTCCCAAAATTATCTTTCTAGAAAAGGAAATCGAGGCTCAGTTACTGTTGGGGTTAAACGGGTAGCAGGTGGTCCAGCCAGGATTTCTATCCATGTCACAACCAGTGACCTATTATCCCTCTACTTATAGGTCATAAGATTTAAAATAAAAAAGACTGAAGAGTCCTGCAATATTACCTCTACCCCATGCCAGCCTGGCACATAAGAAGCACTTAATAAATGCTTATTAACTGACTGATTGGATGGGGGGAAAATCTCATCTGTATTTTCACTAATCTGTGTTTTCCTTTCCAATCCTGGGTATTTTATTTTATTCATTTAAAAACATGATTCTGGGCAGGGGTCCATAAGCTTCACAAGACTGTACTGAGAGCTCCAGGACACTCAGGAGGGTTAAGCATCCAGGCAACAGAGTACAGCACTGTTTTTTTAAAAGGATTTTCTTCAATAAGGTGTCTCTTATCCATATATCAAAATTACCTGAGACTCCTTCAAAGACATAAACTTCAGACCTTTAAAAACATGATTCTGAGAAGTGGTCCTGAGGCTTCACCAGATGCCCAAACAGTCCAGGACACAAAAGGCTAAGAACTGCTGCTTTTATTAGACTCTAGTCCAGAGGTGGGGAAATGGGGCCAGATAACCTCAGGTTATCCTTGCCAGGTTAGAATGACCAGATAGACAGTGGGACTGAGGTGGTGCATGATTGTTATTTCATGGAGCTGCAGTTTGAGAAATAGAAATCAGATTTCGAATATAAGTTCACAGAGGGTCAATGATGAGAGGAGATTTGTTGCTATTGATCGATTCAAATAAATCCAAAATGTGTTTCTTCTTAAGGATAGTTCCTAGGGAAGCATTATGCCCCACCTGTGTAGCACTCTGTAGTTGACCAAAGACATGTAAGTAGGTAGAAGGTGAAAACATTTTTATCCCCATTTTGTACGTGAGAAAATGAAGGCCTGAGGGTGTTTAACTGGCTCCTGGCCACATGACCAGTAATGGCTCCATTGCAGAGATGCATTCACTTATTTCAAATAAATTTATCTAACTAATCCAGTCAAAATATAAACATACTTTCTCCTGAGCTATCTAACAATGCAGCCTTTTTTAATACTTGAATTTTCAGATTCTCAAATCTCCATGTCATCATAGAAAAGTGGAATGATTCTTGCTTGACTGTAAACAAAAAACAGTCCTATTGTCCTTTGAAGCTGTGCTTGCGTACTAAACGTGTGGCATTCTTTTTTAAGTGAGTAACAATCTAAAGAGGAACAGGATTGTCAGAATTCTCTTAACACAGAAATCTACTACTTTGCATTGGATTTTTAAAAAATTGTTCAAAGGGAAGCCTTTAGTTTCACGCCAATAAAGCACATTTATAAACAAACACCTACACACTAATATTTTATGTGATCTTCCATACACTTTATGTTCTAAGAGGAAACTGTATAATACACTACCATTGGCATTTCGTCCGTTGGTACCATCTGCTGCTGCAGAAAACATAATCATAGTGACTTTGCATTTTCCATAAGCATCATTTTAAAAGCTGATTTCTGGTGAGGTCAAGGTCCTTTTGGAGTCTGAAAAAGGTATATTTCACCAATGTCCAGAGATAGTATTTTTCTTTTTTTTTTCTTTTCTTTTTTTTTATTAATTTATTTTGATTTATCAACAATCACTTCCATAAGCTTTTGAGTTTTAAATTTTTCTCCTCCTCTCTCCCTGCCTTCTTCCCCAAGACAGCGCGCAATCTGATATAGGCTATACGTATACATTCCTATTAAACATATTTTTCACATTAGTGATGTTGTAAATAAGAATTAGAACCAATAGGAGGAACCACAAGAAAGAGGAAACAAAACAAAACAGAAGAAAAAAAATAGCAAATAGTATGCTTCAGTCTGCATTCAAACTCCGTAGTTCTTTCTCTGGATGTGGAAAGAGATGGTATTTTTCTGACCAAAAAACACGTAAACCACCTTGGTAGGCATGTGTTACGTAATACACTTACGGCAACTATGTCATCACAGCCAAGATTTGTCTCAGTTGTGTACTTTAACAGACAAAATGTGTCGAGTTATAATGGTTAGGTTGGAAAGATCCCTTCAGGAAGGAGGTTGACCTAGGGGCCGAGCAGGGGGTGGTGCCTGGTGGGAGGCCACGCAGTGAGGTCACTGGAAGGCCCCCCTTGTGCCCTTGCTAACATTCTAGATCACAAAATCATACCTCAAAAAGGGACGGCCTTTTGCACCCTGGGATGCTCAGCAGCGTTTTAAAAGGTACAAGTACTCAATCTTTTATGTCTCTAAAAGAGGGTGATGCTTCTGTTGCATCACCAGAAAATGTCCGTTTCAGTCTAACTACAAGCATTCATCACACGCTTCCTGTGTGCCAGCTTCTCGAGGAAGCCTTTCCCAAGCCCTCTTCCTTCCAGTGCCTTCCCTGTGTCGGGTAGGTCCTTCCTTCTTATTCTCTCTGTAGGAGCTTGTGTGCACGTAGGTGTTGCTTGTTGTCGCCTTCATTAGATGGAGCTGAAGCTTGGGACAGATGCAGGGTTAAGGTGCGGGACGTGTGGGATGAAGGAGCCGAGGAACAGTGACCACACGAGGGGGCTTCCCTTGCCCTCGTGGCGCTCTTATCAGAAGCCATGATTCAGGAACCAGAAGCAGACTTCTAACTGTGATTCGGAAGTTCCCCAGAAGCCGCTGGGGTCTTGAAGTTTTTAATGAGATCTCTCCAGATCTCTCAGGAATAGCCTTCAGCCATAAATTTGGCTTGTACACACACTCACATACACAATGACGAAGGTGTGTGGTGACTTTGGTGAATACAAGTTGAGTGGAGTGGGCCCCCAGGACAATTCAGAAAGGCATTCGCTGCGGCCGGCCTGATGCCAGCGTTCTGGATCCTCAGCCTCCGGCTCAGGCGCCTCAGCCCTCTGCTGAGGATTGGAGGCTTTAGGGTGACCTAAGGTGCAATGGCCATGGTAGGACTGTTAGAGGATCCACAAAAGATCGATGGGTATCAGCATGGAGGCATGGACTTCAGAGGAATGAGGACAGGCTGGCCTTCACCTGTCCTACTGAGTGAGACAGAGGGAGGGCGAGAAGGTGTATCTATGAGAAAATGGCTAGCAAGGTCACTTTCACCGCTGAGCCAGTGTGCCAGCAGTCAGCAGCCAAGAAAGGCCAAAACAAGTTCCTGCCCTCAAGGAGCTTACATTCTAATAGGGGAGGCCATGCGCTAAAAATTGAACTGAACTGTGGAGGGATCTGAGGTCACAGGGAGGATGAAGAACAGTTAGGGGTCGTAAGCCAGGAGGAAAGATGTAATGATAAAAGGTTATGATCAGATAAAGAAATTTTGGGGTTCATGAACACCCGTGTGTGAAGGCAGGATCCAGGCATGGCAGTGTCTATGTGCAGCGAAGACAGAATGGGGTAGTAAGTCAGGGAATTGAGTAGTTAGGGGACTGGGAAGTGTCACTGAGATGAGAGGAGGAAGGAGGCGTTGTCCTGGGGTCAGTAGAGGGAAGGGAATCATAAGCATTTCTATAGTGATGACTGTGTACCAGGCGCTATGCTAAGTGATTTACAAGTATCTCTTTAGATCCTCACAACAACCTGCAATGTGCACTCATTATCCACATTTTACATTTGGGGAAACTGAGGCAAACAATGCTTCAATGACTTGCCCAGGATCACACAGCTAGTAAGTGTTTGAGGCTGGATTTGTACTCAAGCCTTCCTCCAGGCCCAGTGCTCTACCCCACTGTGCCACCAGATGCAGTTGGTAGATTGCAAACTACCAGCATCTTAACTAGGTCATACAAAAAGGATGGGTGCTGAGAAGTGAAGAAACTCGTATTTGTGCAAAAAACCCTAGGAGGCTACATCTAATATCATTTCTAAAGAGGAAGGATTATTAAAAGTTGTGAAAATGACTTAAGATGTTTAAGTATATAATCCTGCTCCGTGTAATTTTTGTGTTTTTTTTTTCCCTTTTCTAGCATCATGATATTACTCTATAAAATTGACAGCTCCTTAGAAAAATTCACAGAAACATGGAAAAGTTTAAAACGTTTACAGGTGTGTCTTTTTATTGGTTATTATTTTCTGACATTTTAATTTGATCATGATACTAGGAGCAAAAAAAAATTTCCTGCGTGTTATCAAAAGAGAACTAAATCTAGCAGAGTTTTGGGAATGAGAGTTCAGCCCACTGCTTATGTTTCATTACATTTGATAATGACAACTTTATTTTTTTCACTTGATTTTTAAACAATTCTGTGAAACTTACCATTTTTATTTCCTGGGGTTTTTTCCCCAATAAAATTGACTTTTTGAAAACTTAAGAGAAATTTGAGGACATTTAACTAGTTGTAGATTTTCAGATCTTTCCTTCTCCTGACCTCACATAATAAGTAGTTTGTCCTTCTTTTATTCATTGATAGTGATACATTTTCCAGTAGTTACTTGTACGCGTCTTGTAAGCACCATCATAACACAGTTTATACGTCCCGTTGTATTAGCAGCGTTCAGTGCTTTTTAAAGCAGCTTTGTGATCCTGTCAGTGCTGTGAGCTCCAGGAAGGCCTGCCTTCCCCACAGCAGAGGCCTTTCATGAGTGGTCAGTGAATTCCCCTGAAGCATTGCTGTGCTTGGGATATGTCGGCCCTTTGGGCAGTTCCTTCCTTAACAATGAAGAGCTTACAATTTCAAAGGAAGAAAACGGCAACAGGATTTTTTGTTTGGCCAAGCAGAACACTGTATAAAATGTCCAGCACACAGGCTTAACGCAGAATTTTAACATCCTCCCCCTTTGTTTCAGGCCTTGTTGGGCCGGCCAGAGCTGGAAAATCTCATCGGTGTTTCGTGTACGTCACTGGATTTGAGAAGCCAAGTGCGGAAGACCAGAGAACTGAGTAATGATCACTGGGGAGTTTTCATGAGCAGAAGTGGAGCAGATACACTTTCTGCACTTTTCCAAATTGTTTCCTAAGCTTTGCAGTTTGTGCAAAAGAAGATGGTCCTTCTATAATTAGCCATTTGGGGAAGGATTTAATATTTTCTGGTTTGCTAAAATTCTTAAATAAGTCAAACATGATTGATGCCACTACTGTACTCCTCAGTGGTGGCAGGGATGCTGTGACTCCAGGTAAAATGAGAGAGAGCCACTTAGCTGCTCCTCAGTAGAGCCGTGGCATTTCCAAAGAGTGAGACTGAAAAACTTGCCGTAGGTTTTTATATATAGTGAAGGCCATTTCTTGTGTGGTGGGTGTTTACTAAAGTGCTTGGGAAGAGCACTAGAGGAGCCCTTGATGCTGCCCCGCCTCCTGCCCTTGGGTCATGGAAGATCTGGAAACCTCAGTTTTCCTGTCTGAGAAATTGGGAAAGTGACAGCCATCTCACAGGTCGTTCTGAGGATCAAGGAAGATAATGAATGGAAAACAAATTGCACACCTTAAGGTGCTTAGTAGGTTAATATCATCATCCTGTGAATTGGGTTCCATGAAAGAATTTCAGTGCTGGTGATATTTTTCCATCTAAAATATCACATATGCAGTTATTAAAAATACTTATTTCATGCAAATTTTTTCAGGATGCAAACAGTTTTAATTTCCTCTTTTTATGCCCAAGGCTTCCCAGCTCCTCTTGATCCAACGAGGATTCCAAGACCACCAGTCCCCCAGACCATGTCTCCTGTGTCTGGCCTTCTCCCAAGCCCCAGAGGTCCCAGGCCTAACTTGGTTTAGGAAACCCTGAAGGGATGTGTATTAAGGTTATGGGTCTTAGGCCTGCAATTCTGTGTGATTTCTCTTTCTTTTCCTGAAAAAGCTGCTCTTTATGTTTAGGGTTACCGGAGAGCTGGTGAATGTTAACTTTGAAAGATGATTTTTATTTTTCAGTGATGAAAGTAAGAAAACAGGAACAGCTGAAAAAGGAAACACTGAAACATTTCCCAAGAGGTAAGGGTGTCTTGTTGTCCTCTCTTGTGTATGGTAGCGCCTCCGATCCATCCCCACTGAGTCCTTCGGAGCCACGTGTCCTGGGAAAGGCTGTGAACTTCCTGTGAGAAACTGGAGAGAAGCTGAGGCCTGAGACCTCCCCCTTGGACAACACTCTTATGTCATTTGAGCACAACTTTGAGTTTGTGGCGTTAATTGAGCCTTTTTCTTTTGAGAAACAGGCAGAACTGGTCACCCAGCAGACAGATGATCAGAGCCCCCAGGGCCCCCGTTTGTTGGGGTTTGGTGCTCGTCACCCACAAAGGCCAGGAAAGTCACCTGTAACCAGCGTTGGGGAGATTTAAAAGTCATTAACGCCGTTCCGTCAACCGCTCTCTTGCCCATGAGTGTTTCCCACTCTGAGACACAAAGTTGAGTTTTCTCAGCTTGTGTCTACACGGTTCCTGCTACCTCAGAAATCTCCAGTGATTTTTCTTGGCTTTATCCTTTGTGGCTTAGTGTCTTTGATGAAGTTAGCTTGAGCCTGTGCCAGTGTGTTAAGTGCGGATGGCCCTCGCTTAAACTTAGTGGTTTCTTTCTGTGAGACAGAGCTGCGCTGTTTGTTTATTTGTCAGCATGCTGGTCTTTGAGCCAGGAAGTCCTGGGTTCAGATCCCACCTGGTTCGTGCCCATTTTGTGACAGGAGGCGAGTTACTTAACTCCCCTGAGGACCTGTTTTAAGTCTCCAAGTTGTTGATCAGCTTCTACATCTGCGGAGGGCATTTTCACATGTATAAATAACTCCCCCTCCCCCTCTTCCATCCCTAAAACATTACGAAGATCTGGTGATCTGAGTTGTGATTAAAAACTTCTCAGCATGGATTCATTGTGTGGCACATGATGGCTGAAGTTAACAACAAGCAAAGAAAAACTGTATCCACACATCGTTCTGAAGGCCTCCCCTTGGGTTTCTGAGAGAACAGCTCCTCCTTTTCCCCGGGTTGATGTATGCAGCCTCTCAATTTTCAGATATTTTTTGAAAATCGATGCCCCCGAAGAGGTGGGTTAAAGCTTGTTTTTCCCGTCTCTGAGCTAATACGGTTAAATATTTCTCATGACTCTCTGCCTTGTTCTTGGGTGGTGCCCTGGTCAGAGGCAGCACAAGAAGTCTCTGCCTTTCTGAACTCACTGCTTCTTTTGCCCAACTTTGTGTATTGTTGGTAGTGAAGGGGTAGCGGGTCTGCCATTTTGGTTGTCGCTGACCTGTGCTCTCAGTGTCAGACATCAGCAGATCTGAAGAAGGTAAATGTAGGCAAGGTTTCTTTTAAGTGAATTTTAACCCAGATTCGGAAAGGATCAGCTTTGACCTAATCTCATGTTGGTGCTTGCTTCCAGCTTTTTCTTTTTTTACATTTTCCTTTGATATCTCTTTTCTCTACTGTACCATTAAAGGTTTCAAGAGTTAACACGGGGAAATACCGGCTAATTTTTCGGATTCCAGGAATTTTGATAGTACTGAGAATTATAAAAATTAGACAGCCTTAGCAAGATATATTGGGTTTTGCCATTTAACGTAATTGTGAAGCCCCAAATAAATACATGATTGTTTTCACTGTTCAAAGATTATCCAGCGAGGTTAGAATTTTCATGGGCTTATGGAGGGCACTTGTAAAATATTTATGGAATCAGCAGCATCAGGAGAGTTCCTACCCCTGGCCCTCGACTTTAGGATTTTATGTCCATTTCATTACTGATCTTATTTTGCTCAGTGGGAGTCGCATTTCTCATATCATCAATAAGAAGAAAATGAGGAAAATGAGACTATTGTTTCAGATAAGTAGATACTTCCCAGTTCATTCGAATGAAGTGTGTACATTGGCTAGAGGGAATGTGAATCTTCTTACCGGAGTGAAGAAATACAATGGAATGAATTCAATTTTGTGAGGATTGGGGATGCATGTGGAGTGCCCAGAATAGAAGGGATTTCACTTCCAAATAGAAACTTGCTTCAAAGAAGGGTCCTTTCTTTGTTTTAATAAAGTACAGTAGGAAGTACTCCTGACTCCATGTTCCCCAAGAATGTTAACTTTGTGGCCATTTGGCCAACAGTGGAATGAAAGGTTCTTTGACTTTTGGATTTGGATGTGGATTTTCATAATTATTTTTAATTAGTTATGCTGAAGATTTAAAACCCAGGCCCATTCTGTGGGTTGAGACAGATGGAATGTCACATTATCATCACATGGTAAGGCATGAAATTTATTTACTTTACATAAACAGCCTCTACTTAAAACAACTCGATACAAAACATTCCTTGGTCAATGGGCAGCATTCTTCAGCATCTGGCGCATTCAGTTTTTGTTAGGGACATAAAAAAGTAGCTTCATTGTTTGTCCGTGACTAGCACTTAGAATAAACAAAATGTTTTTGATTAGAGTGTAAGCAGACTGCACAGCATTTGCCAAGAGATGAAATCTAGACCATGAGCTTCAGTCCAAAACACATTTTATTCTGTTCTGAGAAGATATGTGTAGGTTAGGTTATGCATATTTTAAATGAAAATGTAAGGCTGAACTTTGTGTGCTGATAGCAAACAGTATTCCAGAAGAAAAAGAAAAAAAAAGAAAGAAAGCCTGACTGTTTCAGCTGTTTACTATAGAAAATATTGCAGAATTTCTAGGTCTAGGCTTGACAAAAATTTGTCGGAACCAAAATGTCTATGTTTTCACAGTCTGCTGTGTTCTTTTTATGTTGCAAAGGGAGGCTTGGTGGAAGGATTTTTAAATGACCAAATTCTTCCATTATTCTCAGACGATATTGTGGATTGAATATCGCCTTTTCTTTCCACCACCCAATAGAGTAGGGTTTTTTCCCCTTTAACTTAAAAATGTGTGACTCTCTCTCCCACTCAGAGCCTTCCTTGGAGGAAAAAATCCAGCCTCCAAGCTACACACTTTTATTCCCATAAGATGACTCTTTGTTTCTTTTTTATGTGTACATTAGTCTACAGTCTTGTCCCAAAGATGTGTTTCAGTTGAAAAAAGCCTTGTTTTGAAGTTTTAAAGATGAATTTTTGGGGAAAAACAACAAAAAAGATCCTGCTCTAATGTCCTTACATTCCATGTTCTTGGAGAAGAGAAATGAAAGTCTTCTTTTTCTGACCCTTCAGTGTACGTTCACGTCTGTCTGCTGGCCTCGGCCAGAGCCCAGAGAGACGACTGGCAGGCTTCTGATTCTGGCACTCGGTTTACCAATGTTTTTGTAACAGTTGTACAGATTATTTAAAAATGACTACTTTAATTTGCCCACGGGTTTAATGAAATACTTAAACTGGTCCATTAATATTCAGGGGCTACTCAGTAATTTCTGCCATATTCAGTTTCTTTTTCTAAAAAGGAACATCATTTGATCATTTAAATAATGAGTAAATAATTCTGAGAAGTACTGTCGGGTTGGACCCACTTAGCAACAATTATGTGTAGGAGAGGCCTAAACAAAGTGCTCCGCAGGCATTGCAGCTACCCAGGTGCTGGGGGTGTGCTGATGACAGCAAAATGAAAAAGAAAGACCGTAATAATTCTGACTGGTTTTCTCTGCAGAAGGTATTGATTATTTGTGTGTGGTGAGAGATTTGGAAAATTCAATTAAAGGGCTTGTGCAAAGCTTTCATAAATTCTCCTTCTCCAGCGTGTACACAGACATTGGTGCGTATTAAATCAATGCAGCACTTCACAATATATTTTCTTTGAAACATAAAAATAAATAACATTTAAACAGTTCTGCTTACTACAGAAACAAATTTGATTCTGTGAGAAGCATTTCGTCATGTGCTATCACTGACTCGCACACATTTGCCAGCTCTAACAAATTTTACCGACATTTTCTCCAGAGACATATCTCAGATACTATGAATGTTTAAATGAGCAGATGGGCAAGAAGGGATGTCAGCAATATAAAAATTGATCAGTTAAAAGATAAAAGCATAAGTAAAGAGATTTGTATGGTAGTCTTAATAGGTTTTATTAAATAAAAATACTATAAAAAGACAGTAATGAATAGACTGAAGGCTTTAACTGTGCTTGAGGTGGAGAAAATTATTCTGCTACATTTAGGAGAAGATTGGTTTTATATTACCCGACAGGTGAACATTTTTTTTCCTGTTTTAGCTCTGTAAATGTTATAGAGTACTAGAACTTGTCCTCCCTCTGTCCTCCCCTTCCTCCCCCCCACCAAAAAAAAAAAAAAAGAAAACTTTGAAAGGTTAGACAAGTTCTGGTGGAATTGGCAGCTTACATATTTATGAAAGGTACATCATTAAACTGGTGGGTTGCATAGTAATTAATAGTAGGGAGGGGAATGGAGAAGACATTGGATTGATTTCAGGCCTCACACTGAAGAAAAAATTTTGTTTTTATTCAAACCATAAAGGAGGGAGACCAATCCAGAGGAAAATGAGAATTTTCACATGAGTTACGTTGATTAAATTCAGCCGTGATGTAATAGAAAGTAGAGACACAACTCTGAGAGCGGCTGTGTTTTTGTCATTGGTGAGCCTAGTTTTCCGGAGGCATCGTCTACCTTCACGGTAATATGCAGAACCATTTTTAGCTAGCCATCAGTCCCATTCCAAAGCTCGGTCCAGGCAAGGCTTCACCATGCCAGTCAGTCACTCCACCCGTGGTTTAATTAGCAAGTAAGCTGAGACAAGATTTATTAAATCCTCTTTTCTCAAGGAGGCTCAGTCGGCCCAAAAGTTGTTTCTGAACTCTAGCTAAAAAGGCATATTTTCTCATTTCAAGTGTGGACTGACATCTAACCCCCAAAAGGTGAAAGACTAATCATAACATTGACTTATATTTTTAAGTGATTATGGAGAATCTTCTGTGTAACAGAAGCTGCCTTAAGCAGTAGGGTTCTGTTATATAATCTGAAACGTAAACAACCCATTTCAGTTGGTGTTTTGTATTTAAAACAACGTCATGAGTTAAAAAAAAAAAAGTATGAGTTTGCAGAAATTCTCACCAGCACTTCCTTTCTTCGCCAGTGTGATAAAAATAATTTATTTCGTTTCAAGGAGCATCTGTATGTGCCAACAGCTTATGACCTTAGTGCTGCTGATTGCATTTAAGGTACTCTCCTCCGAGGTGCATTAGGATCTGGTCTAATATTAGCTTCCTGGCCTTTGATGCCTTCTTACTCTAGGCCTGCGCTTGTCCTTAACGTCTAAAATAATGTACATGCCTGTCCTCCTTACTTCATTAACTCTATGGAAGTGTAAGTGTGGATCACTCCAGACAATTCACGAATCTGGGAGCTCCTCAAAGTGGGGTCTCTTTTCTTTCCGTGGAAATCCCACCCATCCAGGCCTTCCCATGCCCTGGGAGTCTTGTTCTTGCCCTCCAGAGATGATCCGGTCAGGGGGCAGGTACCAGTCTGGGCTCGGGGCTGTTTGTCTGGCATTCTGCAGCGGGCCTCCCTTCCTGGATGCAATCATTAGGCTTCATGACAGGCCTCTCCCATTGCCCTGGGAGTCACCTGTATTTGTCCTCACTGGACAGAGTGATATTCTGTGATTCACTGCCCTGGAGCAGTACCAGGAGAACCCCAGGGTTTAAAAGATGGGTTTTTATTTCAAGGAGCAGTTTGGGATCATTGACAGTGCTGCACAATTTCCCCAAAGCCCCCACCCTGCTGCGTCCTTCCTGTTCAGCTCAGGGCCAGCCTGGTGTCTTTTTGCAGCGTCTGCTCCAGGGAGGGGCGCTGTTGAACTGACTTATTGGGCTGTCCAGAATCAGAGTTTGGAAGTGACCTTGGCAGCCATCTGCATCAGCCCAAACTCACCAAGAGTCCTTGCTTCATCGCCACAAGCATCTGGCCGGTGGTGGGAGAGCTCCCAGGAGAGCCTTGACCCCTCCAGCTGGTGATGGTTTTTATTAGGAAGGAGGCAGCATGGTGTGGTGGATGGAGAGCCAAGAAGACCTGGATTCAAATCCTGTCTCTGGCATGATGGCCAGGCTGCCCTGGTTAAGTCCCTTAGCCACTCAGTGCTCTGGGCTGTGGATCAGGTGTGGGAGTTTCCTTCTCTGGAGCCAGTGCCCATCCCTTCCCTGATCCTTAGATCAAACCTAACTTGACCACTCTTTGTACTCCGCCCATTGCTTCTAGTCTTTTCCTGTAGCCAAAGGGAACAGCTCATCCCGCTTCCATTTGACACCTCCTCAAAACCGAAAGCTCCGGCACATCTTCCCCCAGGCTTCTCCAGCCCCAACATCTCCATGTTCTTCAGTCATATGGCATTCTCTCTGCTCTGGACACCCCAGCGACCATGCACTGAACCCAGCCCCACGTTCCAAGCATGTGTCCTCTCCACTAGATGCCCTTAGTGGTCATCAGCGGTGAGCAGAGCCTTTCACTCTCCCCCTGATTCTGGCCTGTCTTCACCTCTCCCTCTCACTGCAGCCAAGCCTCCGGCTGCCGCCCATGCACAGCATTCCTGGGACACCCTTCTCTTCACTCCTGCCACCTCTTATCCTTCAAAGTCAGCTCAGATGACACCTGCATAAAATTGTCCTGATTCCCCCCAAATATGACACTGTCCTTATTTTTTGTATTTTACCTAGACCTGGGGGCACTTTTTCCCTCCTCTCTTAGGTTGCAAGTTTACAGGAATGTCTCATTATCCCATCTTTGTGTCGTGTACACCAGGCACACAGTAGGCAGTTAATAAATGCTGCTTTGATCCGCCGATTAACTGATTAATGGGCCAGCCTGGCTAATCACCAGAGTGGTGATGGGGGATTGGGGGAGGGCTGGAGTTTGTGGTTATGGATGTTCTCAAGGAAAGCCGCCTTCTCATTTATAGAAGAAAGTGGGCAGGGTTTGGGTAGACCCTCCCAGACCTGCTCAGGTGAGCCAACCAACTGCACGTTTTCAGAAACAAAGATCGTGTTAGTAACCGGTTTCTGGCTCCCTCCTGGCTCCTCCTTTGACTTCCTCCAAGTCCCAGCTAAAGTCCTGCCTCCTCCAGGAAGCCTGTCCTGATTCCCCTTAATCCTAGTTCCTCCTTCCCTCCCTTGGTTCTCTCCAATTGGTCCTGTTTGTAGGGTGTCTGCATAGATAGTTGTTAGCAGCTGCCTCTCCCATTTCACTGGGAGCTCCGCCTTAAGGGAAGGATTATCCCCAGCATTTAGCAGTGCTTGTAACTTAGTAGGCACTTAATTAATGCTTATTTGTTTTAATTGTAATTTGATTTAATTGGAAATATTTACTTCTAGTTTTTGATCACTTAATATTTTTTTTCCCCACAGATTTTGGTCATCTCAACAGCTATGAGTTCCTCAAATCCATTATTAACTGAGGTAACATTTTGCTTGTGTGGCTAAATTCTACAAAATTTCCTTGTTTTTGGTTTAAATGGGAAAACTGCTTCTATCACTTATTTTTATTTTCTGTTAGAAAATAGAAAATATAGGTATTGTCCTTTAATTGAGCTAGTGCTGTTCTGTTGAGTTTTATGTAAGAAATTATGGTAGGAGCAAGTGTCCAGCAGAGACAGAAAGAACATCCTTGAGAAATACCAACCAGTTTCAGAGATGGCAACTTTCTCATGAATAATTGTAAAGGGGGACTTGAATGGTAACAGCAGTCTGAGTTGTGAGCAGCTGCCCATGTGCCAGGTCACATGTTGGGTGTGAGCTCTTGATGGAGCGGGCGTATCAGAAACATAGCAAGGGGATTAAGCAAAGCCTTCTATCATCTAATGCCTTATCATACTTGTTAGTGGTAGCTCAGCTCCCAATAGTGATTCATTGGGCTTCAGACGTATAATTTAATTTTCTGACTTTCTTTTGCTCCGCTCTGAATGGTGCTTTATTCTTACCTAAGGTTGCCAGACCATAAAGCCTATGCTAAGATATGGGTGGTATCACCTCTTAGACTGAGACGATGATGTGAGGGGCAGGTTTGAGCTCCGCCTACCACAGACCTGTTTTGGCCTCCCCAAAGAGATAGCATTACAGTCCAATCTTGAAGCAAAATTCAATAACACTTGCTAATGTGGTATTGAAATATCTGCCTCTAAATAGCAAGGTTAATGTCATTTAAAATGTTCGTAAAGTAAATTACGGGAAATGGAAATTTTCTTAGAAAGAAATGTCTGTGACTTCCATGTTGAACTGGGGTTCTTACCCTTTTTTCTGTGTATGTAGCTTGGTGGTGTATATGGACACCTTCTCAGAACATTGTCTTTAAATGCACAAAATACAGTCTATAGAATTACAAACAAAAACAGTTACATTGAAATAGATATTAAAATGTTTCTCTAAAAAGTTCATGGGTGCTTGGTTAAGAATACTCGATGCAGATGAATGTCAGTTCTGATGTGGCCAACTTCAGATACTTCAATGCATTGTAAAGGAACGTTAGCCAAATCCTCACTCTAGGGGAAAAGGCAAAACCAGACAAGATCAGATAGTGTGTGGTGTCCCCCCTAATGTGTGGCGCCCAGCCAAGCAGCACCCATTCCCAATCAGGGCCATACTGGGCAGGTTCCAGGGAGACTGTCATCTCAGTCTTAGTGGACTCCTCATGGGGCCAGAGAAGTGACGTCGGACAGGTCGTGAGCAGCCAGGACTCTCCTCTAGTCTGAGGCTCAATTCCCAGTGGAGGGCTTTGTGTCGCCATCTTGTCTTCGGGGAGGATGGTATCACGGTAGGACAGAGAGAGGGCCTGGGCCTGTGACTTCTTGGTATACGAAGTTCCCCGTAAGGAAAGGACCTTGACTGGTGTAGGTCAGGTCATTCTCTGCAGAGCTGCCTGCAGAACTAAGAGGTGAGACCACTAGACCAGGGTCACAGCTAGGATATGTCAGAGACAGGACCTGAACCCACATCTCCTGAGGCCAGTGTTCTCCCCCTTACACCATGCTGCATCACTTGTCTTACTGTGCTAGGAAATTCACATGGAATTAAGTTGGAATCTTCCTCAACAGTCCCGCTGCAGCGCTTCCCAGAACCAGAAATTAGGCTTACAGCATCCCTAACTGGGCTCACCCACTAGTCATCTGAGGCAGCCCCTTCCATTTTTAGTTAGCACTAGTGATCTGGAAGTTGTTGCACCTAGGCCTGCCTTTGCGGCTTTTACCCCTGCCACGTGGCACCAGACTTGCCCAGTCCCTCTTCCTCTGGACAGCCCTTCAGGTACTTGGGGACTCCTTTGGTATCCCTTCTGTAGGCCGATGATGGACATCTCCTTCGGGTATTCCTCGTGTGACGTGGTCCCAGGCTCCCTCCCCATCCTGGTCACTCAATGTCCGTCCTAAAATGGGACACCTACATCTTAACACTGTGCTCCCAACAGGAGCAAGGCAGGGCCTCCTTGGAACTGTGATCTTCATTTGTGGCACAACTTTTGTGAGGCAGCCCAAGAATGTATTAACTTTTTGACTGCTCTTAAAATCATGGTCTGCTCATGCCCCGAATCCTTTTCACACAAACTGTCATCATGCCATGCTTCCTCCCATCTTTGTCAATACTGTGCTGAATTCTGTGCAAATAGTGTCTGCGTGACCTGTTCTTGATGAAACCATGAAACACGCTGGTTTTGCCGTGATGCATTCAGGTTACCAGACCCAGATGAGCTACATGCCAGGATCCAGAGAGGCCTGCTGGATCCACCGTCACAGGTCTTTGAACAATAAAGAATATGGGAGAAGTACCTTAGCCAAATGAGAAAGCATTTATTAGTACCTGCTGTGTGTCCGACACTGCTAAGTGTGAGGGATGCAAAGAAAGGCAAACAGCTTACAGTCTCATGGGAGGAGACAACATGCAAACTCTAGCCCCAGTAAGAAGATGCTGGCATGAAGAGAAATTGGGAGAAGCTTCTTGGAGAAGGTGGGGTTTTAACTGGGACTCGAAGCCAGGACGAGCCAACAGCTAGGGAAGAGGACGGGGAGCATTCCAGGCCTGGGGCCAGGAGATGGGAGGAATGGCAGAGAGGCCAGTCAATGGGGAAGCCGTAGTGGGGGGTATCTGTAAGGTATAAGAAAATGGCAAAGGTTAGGAAGGCATTTAAAAGCCAAGTAGGACGTCATGTTTGATCCTGGAGGCAATAGGGAGGCCCTGAGACAGAACTGAGAACTATGTTCCAGTACGTGACCTCAGTTCTGTGACCAAACTCTGGACGTGTGGCTTGTGAATGAATACGGTATTATACAAAGGAATTGGTGATCATCAAAGTGCCGGATGGCTTCCCTAAAGGCATATCATGTTAGACTGTTGATTTTTATTTTTCAAAAACAATCTTAACCTGCATGACATAAAACCCATCTTTGATTTTATTTCATGTTTTGAGAACCTGACACCCTTGTCAGTGGCAGGGAAATCAGGAAAGAGCAGAGGGGTCGGGGGAAAGACGTTCAGTTTTGGATGTCTATAGGAAATCATCACAATGTCTAACTGGCAATTGGAGATGAGAGACTAGAGATTAGGGCTGGATAAAGAGATCAGAGAATCATCAGCAAAGAGATGATGATTGAATCCATAGGAGTTGATGAGATTACCATGTGAAATAGTATAGATGGGGGATAAAAAAAAGAGGGCCCAGAAAGAAGGTCCAGCAAAGGAGACTGAGAAGGAGCAGTAAGATATGTAGAAGGAGGACCAGGATAGAGTGGTGTCACCAAACTCTGGAAAGAAGAACTATCGAGAAGAAGGTGACTGACAGGGTCAGAGGCTGCAGAGAGGTCAAGGAGAATGAAGAGTGAGAAAAGGCTGTTAGACTTGGCAATTAAAAGATCATTGGTAACTTTGGAGAAAGAATAATGAGGTAAGAAGCCAGACTGAAGGAAAAGGCAGTGAAGGAGGTATCTGTTGTAGAAAACCTTCTCTAGGAGTTGAGTCACAAAAAAGGAGCAGTGTGGGGTGGATGATAGCCAGTAGGGATGGAGGGAACAAATGAAAGTTTCTTGTTTTTTAGGGATGTGAGCAGCCAGTAGGCAGAGAAATTGAAGATAATTGAGGGGGGTAACAAAAGGGGCAGTCTCCTGGAAGAGATGGGATGGAATGAGATCGTTGTGCATGTAGAGGGGTTAGCCTAGGTAAGGAAGAGGGTCAGCTTTTCATTTGAGACAGAGTCAAGAAGAAAATAGTGACAGAACACTGGCATCTGGATGATATGTAATGGGGAAGGGAGAAAGCTCTTAATGAACAGCCTCAATTTAGGAGGGGGCAATTAGGGTTAAGTGACTTGCCCAGGGTCACATAGCTAGTAAGTGTCAAGTGTTTGGTCTGAGGCCGGATTTGAACTCAGGTCCTCCTGACTTCAGGACCGGTGCTCTATCCACTGCGCCACCTCACTGCCCCAACAGCCTCCATTTTTTCAGCTGAGAGGTTGGGAGGGGAGAGGGAATTCTGGGAAGTTTTAGGAAGGACAAAAAGGTCTGGAAGAGCTGGTGTGAGTGGAAGAGAAAGTTGATCAAGGAAGTGTAAAAAGATGCCTTATAGCAATGAGGGCTCAGTTGAGGTTCTGTAAGACATCTGTAGTGGATCTAGTCAATCCAGTTTCATGATTTTTTCCAGCTATGACAGCAGCACATGTGTAAGAGTGAAGGTAGCAGATGGTGGTGGGGGGGATCCAGAAGCTTAGCTGCAGAAGGTCAGTGATATGGAGTCAAGATGAAAACAGTATATACTTGAACTGGTTCACCAAGGAGTAAAGACGAGGAAAGGCAGAGAAGAGCTAGTGCAGGGGTGATGGCCTGGGAGAGAACCAAAGGGTCGAAGGATTGGAGGTCATGGTGCGGATTGATAACAGGATGCAAGGCAGAAGGGGCGATAAGATGCGGTAAGTTGTGATCAGATGAGGGCATTTCAGAGTTCATGAAAGTGGAACATTTGTGAGTGATGGCAACATCAAGGGCATGTGACCATCTTATGTGTGTGGCCAGGGTTGGGTGAAGTAGGACAGTGTCGGAGAGAATCTCAGTATGTTATGTGGAAGCCCCCTCACGTGAGGGAAGGAGCTGAGGGGGAAAGACAGCGAGGCAGGCACAGAACTCACTTTGGAAGGAAGGGGGTGTCCTGAAGGACAGTGGGTAACAGCTACCAGGATTTTGATTGCATGGTCCATATGGATTGAATGAACCTCAAAGAGAGGTTACTGAGTAAAGGGAAATCGTAACATTCACTATTAGCGAACCTCTCCACACAATGCGTGAAGCCAGAATGGGGGGATGGTTCTCACTGACAGCAAATTTCTTGATCTCTGCCCCTTAGCACGCAGCTTCTTTTCCTCAGTTGGGTGGGCTGCTGAGGTGCTTGGCCCTTGTGTGTTCTCACACAGGCAGCTCTGCCTACACACTGCTTGCTCCTCCCTGTGTGTTCCTGGCTCCACCGGATCGTGTGGCCAGTTTTCACGCCCGTCCATGGAGGCAGGGGACAGTCCTGCTTCTGCTCCTTTGCAAGGAACCTCTTGATAGTGAGTGTCTCGGGGACGTAGGCCAGATGTGGTCAGAGCCGTGGTGTCACAGAGGGAGCTCGTGATGTGATGCCTTTTGGGGTCCTGTCCCGTTGATTTCTATGTGCTTTCCTCCTCTACCCAGGGAGCTTTAAAAAGTGCAGCCAAGGCAAGGCGTGAAGGTAGAGAAGTACATTTTCTCCCTGTTTTCTGTGGGGCCAGTCTTGGTCATCACAATTACTGTGATTAATTTTCATTACTTCTGTTTAGCTCAGGGCTCTGTTCCAGTTTTGCTCACTTCAGTTGCCTCCATAATCAAATATAAATTCCTGCATTTGGCTTTTACAGCCGCCCCTAACCCGGCCTCTTATTCTTCCCGGTTGTCTCACACCTTAGTCTCCCCCATCTACCCTGCAGTTCAGCGCCACTGGCCTCCTGCTGTTCCTCAAACAAGACCCTCCGTTTCTTGATTCTGGACCTTCCCACGGGTTGTCCCCCATGCCTGGAACACTGTCCCGCCTCATCTCTACCTCCTGGCTTTTCCCTCCTTCTGCCAGAGGCCTTTCCCAGCCCTCCTTAATCTCAGTGCCTTCCTTTTGGGACCACCCCCCGCTTTTCTCCTAGATACCTTGTTTGTCCATAATGGGGGGGGAATGTTGTCTGCCCCATTAGATTCCTCAAGAGCCCTTCTTTCTGGCTCTGGTGGTCAGCACGGTACCTGGCACCTCACAGGGGCTTACTGAATGCTGGGTGACGGCCTTCCCTCTACACTGCTTTATGTAAATGTACCGAGGTTTCTCTGAATTGTTCAGATTCAGCATTCCTGATGCCATTACCTTTCTGCATCGCAGCTCGTTCAGCTGTTTCTCAGTTGGGGGTCCCTACTTCGTTTCCGGTTCTTTGCAACCACAAAAAGTGCTGCACTGGGCATTTTGGTGCATATGTGGCTCTTCTGCCTTTGACCTCGAGGGGCATATGCCTGGTGGCAGGATCTCCGGGTCAAGGACTGCAGACGCTTCAGGCGCTGTGGGTCACCATCACTTGAAAGTGCTTTCCAGAATGCTTCCGTCTCTTTTAGCCCTCCATAGGCTGACATGAACCTCGGCATTGTTTTGCTTTGCATTTTCCTTACTGGTAATCTGTGGCAGTCTTTGACGTGGCTAATAGTTTGCCGTCCTTCTGAGAACGGTTTGTACCTCTCTTTTGACCACATTCCATCACCCCATCTCTTTTGCTCAAGGTCACCTTTAGTCTCCGGGCTCCATCCACAAGAAGCCCTCTCCCCACCAGGAGACCCTAGTGGGACGCAGTGACTCGGATAAACTGGGGTGGCCGGATAGCCGTCCGCCAAAGCGCCTGCTGGTGGTTTCCCTGCTTCCACTCAAGCGGCTCATTGGGTTGGTGTTTTTAATTGATAACTCCAGGATTTAAAACCGTCAGAGGTCTTTGCTTCAAGATCCGTGTTTGTTCAGGCTTTTGTCCAGTCGACATAAGGTGAAAAGCGCCATGTCAGAAGAAAAATGTTGACTGCGCCTAATTAAGTAAAAGTATTTTATGATTATGCTCATGGATCTTGCATAGCTAACTCAAACATAAGCAAACAAACAGCTATGAAGCTGCAAGTATCTGGCCAGAATTGAATTTTCAAAGGTATGAGAAAAATGTTGAGTTGCAAAAGCAATCCTTTAAATACTCTTGCTGGCTTGTAAATGCTATTTTTAATATCTGGAAATGGGTACTTGATCATTTCTTAGCTCAAGTGTGGTATGCATATGTTAATTTAGAACCTAACGCCTGATGACTTAATCATCATCTTTTATATCCCACAGGCATTAGGAAGAAATGCATTCAGTATGAACACCAAATTCGACATCTGTTTGGTCATATTTAAAGGGACAGAAGAAATGTTTGTAAACCAATCTGCCTAGCAAATACCAGTTCAGGATGGCTCACGGAACTAGGCAGGTGCACATCGAGATAAAATTTCTTGCATCTAATTTAAACTTTACTACACACACCAGCAGATAATCTCAATGTAAATAATACATTTCTTCATGACTCTTTTATGAAAGCTTGTATGTAAAAGGATCCTGATTTATTATTCTGTAGCACAATTTTTTATACTTTAAGTACAGTTTCTTATGTGGAGGTTTAATAAAGCACATAATGGTATACTTGATGGAATTCTTTTTTTTTCCTCCCAGTTTTAGAAAAGCACTAAATTTCACAAATTAAATCTGATTCCCAGATTAAGAGACAGATAACATCAAACTCGTGTGTGTTTTTGAGGGGAAGAAGGCTGGAGGGGATCATCAACTTTCCCATTTGATGTATCAAAAACCATCCTCTCATTTTTTTTACTTAACCCACATGTTATTGTCAGGAAGAGGTGCCAGTTATGTTTTCTGTTTTTTTTTTAAATCTTTATGTGTGTGTGTGTGTATATGTACGTATAAATGCATATTTGAGAAAGGGAATAAGCATTTCTGTGGTATCTACTATGTGCCAGGCACTGTGCTAAGTGATTTACTATTGTTATCTCATTAGATATAATCCATAGAATGCATACACAAAGTTAAATATATATGGATAGATACTGAAAGATCTTGGGGTTTTAGTGAACTGCAAGCTCCATATGAATCAGCAATGTGCTGTGACCACCAAAAAGAAAAAAACCCCAAGGCAATCTTGGCCTGCACCAAGACATGGCCTCCAGGAACATGGAGTGATGTCTTCCATCTCTGTCCTGGTCAAACCCCATCTGTAGTATTCTTTGCCTTTCCGGACATGACATAGTTTAAGGATGCTGATAAACTGGAGTGACGAGAAGGGCCTTGAGAAGGCTGGGGCAAGGCGGGTCATGACAGCTTTATTTGAGTGTCTGAAGGCCTATAGTGTGGGATAGGGGCTGGGGGCCCAGGCGGCAGCGAATGGAAGGGAGCAGTGGGCAAAGCTTTGTGTCAGGAAAGACTTCCTAATAATGACAGCTCCCCAAGGGGAATGGGTGGTGGGCTCTACCTCACTGCAGGCAGTGGCTGGAAGGACTGTTTGGCCTGAGCTTCTCCCTGGGTCATCTGCTAGATTGGCCACAGACGCCGTGTGACATGAATTCCAGTAAAGCACATGTGATGTTAGCTGCGTGAACAGAAAGAGAGCTTTATCATTTCACAACAGCGGCCACTGTGGTTCAGGCCTAACCTCTCATGCCTCTGCTCTGGGCTGCGCCTGATGCCTGGAATGCATTCTCTCCCCCTCTGCCAGCTAAACTCCCCAATCCTTGGCGGTCCAAGCCCAGCCCACTTCCATGAAAAAATTAACACTCAGCTCTCCAACTTCCCACTGTACGTTTTTTCAGCCTCGATCAACCTCTAGGACTGTGCTACAATGATCTCAGTTGGTGTCTTAACCTCTACCAGACTCTGCTGAATTCTAGGATTCCCCTGGTGCCTGACAGTGCTCTAGACACAGGAGCTGTCTGATAAAAGCATGTCGTATTTGTTTTATAAAGCACTGTCGGAGACCCGAGCCAGTATGAGAAATGTGCCTAGAATGGAACACCTAAAGGGCGAAAATCAAAACAAATCTGCCGTGAAGAGAAATTTGACATCCATTAATAAAAATAATAAAATCCCTCTTAAAAAGGAAGGCTAACCAGGCCACCAGAGCTATGTGCCAGGCACCATCCCAGGCACGAGGGGTACAAATACAAGCCGACGAGGGAGTCGCTCACCTCGGGGAGGTTACATTCTAACGGGAGAGTGCACTGCGTAAAGGGGAAGTCGCGAGACTATTGATGAGGAGGAAGAAAAGGCGGAGAGTCAAGCCGTGAATGCTGTGAACCCAGCTGGGGCCCCTCATGAAATGGTGGTCCAGGCTGGGGACTCACTTCAAGGGACGAAGACGTGATAACCTACCCTCAAGTACCCACTCTATGCACCTAATGATTTTTCTCTTAATTTTAGGCAGTTTCCCAAATTTCAGGATCATAATATATTAAATTAGTACGGGCCTCGAGTGCGAGTTTCTGCATTAAGACCAACCTTTGCCTCTCAGGCCCAACACCCAAGACTGCTTGCATAGAATAGGAAACAAGGGGTTAAGGACCTTGCTCCTCAGGTGTGTAGGCATGTGCTTAATGCTGTTCAGCCAGTCCCCGTGTGTTTGACCTCCACACAGGAGCACATCCCAAGCTTTGGCTTCTGAAGAGCTAAGCTGGCCCGTGCACCGTTCCCCAGTCTGGCCCAGCGTAGACTGGGTGGTTTTCACTTCATCACCCCTGGAGGCCACAAGAAGGACAAAAGCAAAAGGAGGAGAAACCCGTGGTCCTGGTTTCCAAATGACTCTGGGGAAAAGACCGATGGAGATTCGAAACCATTGTTAGCGAGCCACACCACATCCATCTCCCACCGTCATCCCATTCAACGGGGCTTTCGCAGCCCGCCTCGGAGCTGTGGTTTGTCTTTGGACGGAATGCACCATCGAGCTTTTCCCCCTTCACCTCATACACATGGCTTACATCTGACGCGAGTATGCCCACTGCCTTGTTTTAAGGGGCTCACAACTAACTTTACTAGAGGGAAAGAGAACAGCATTTCTCATAAACGGCCCCTCCCTGAAGAGGGACCATTAAATGACAGAGCAAACATTCATTTGTTATACTTTATACCAGGGAAAGAAAACGCACCTTTTCTGCAGTTCAACTACTATGAGGGGGACCAAAGTCTCTGTACTAGTAATTCCTTAGGAACTCTGGCCTGGTGACACACTCTGTGGGACTGTATCAGTGATGCCGTCTTCTAAGCAGATCCTTTGTGTACGGTACTTCAGTAAAGTCTTTCAGACAGGATTCAAGGTGAGGACATTTTGTCTCCATTTCACAGGAACTACTCAGAAGCAGTGTGTTCTTAGTCATCAAGCTTGTGTGTTTGATGGCGGCCTTTGTCTGCATCTCCCTTGTATCTGGCACAGTGCCTGATGAAGTGCTTGGTAACTGTGTCGATACGGGAAAAGTATAATTCATGGAGAACCAAAATGCTCTCAACTACTTTGATCTGAAAAATCCAGAAGGTTAAGGGAAAACGGCTTTCCTCTTGAATTATTCAGATCATTGACATTGATTTTTCAGTTCTCACAGGTAAAAACCTTCATGTTTACTATTCTAGACGGTGTTAAGAATTCATAGCAGACATGCAGGAAACTTTCTGGGAGGCAGAAAGCTTTGGATTCACTCATCGTTTAAGGAATAATGGAGCTTTGTTCAGTATTTTTCTATTCCAATTTATATTAAAGCAGTTACAAATAAAACTTGAAATTTCTTAAAACTTGTATCATCGTCTCATGAATCTTGTTCCAATCCCTGTCATGCACGAAAAACAAAAATGGTGCTAAAAACCCTCCCCGTTAGGCTCCGCCAGCCAGCCCCGCTGTTGACATGCAGGCGCAGTGATTACGGATGGTGGCCATGGATGGGCAGCAGGGATCCTGCTGATGTGGCAAGGATTCAAGGCTGCTCGTCTGTGCTGACTCGCCCTGAGTGCCGTTGTGCACGTTTACTCTGAGAAAGAAACACTTCATGATTTCTGACTTGCCCACACCGGGCCTTCACACCCGCAAGCCGGCCACTCTCCAGGGCCACCCTTGAAAATGCCATCAAGGGGGTGACCTTTTAGCACTTTACTAACACGTTTTCATTTCTAGATTACTAGGAATTCATTTTTAAAAAGAAAATATTGCCAGTGACATGATTTGCTTTACTTTTTATCACAAGGTACAACAGGAAACTATGGCAGAGGTTAAGACATGGAGAAGATATGACATTCATACTGAGATTCCTTGCTGGGAATGGGCTTTGGCAAACGGAGCCTCATTCTACCTTATTAAGGGGTCATGTTAACATGAAGTCTGATACTGAGGCCCAGTTATTGCTGGAGTGACCTTGGCAGGCTCCACTGTGTCACATGAGAAAAGGATCCAGAGGCATGAAATACTGTGGATGACCACTGAAGTAAACTTAAGGAAACTCCCCCCAGAAGGGGGCAGACCATGGACAAGAGGCAAGAACTTGGAGAGCTTGGACTTAAATTGGGAAGAACTAATTTCTAGTTGTATAAAGTACATTAGCACTCTAGGTAGTTAAGTCTTTCAGCCTTATAAAAATAAATATGTGCCCATTACACATATGTCCAAATGAAAGAATGTAATCATCAAATTTCAAACAATTTTATATTGTCTAAATTTTTTTTTAAGAAATCACCTGATGTTTGATTTTCCAAGACTGTTTAAAAACTACTCTAGCTTGATGAACCCAACTAAACTGGTAGAAAAGTCCATGTACGCTCTTTTGGGATAGCCACAACTCCTAAAGCAAGTCTTCATCTGAATTTCAGTATCCTAAGAGTGCCCTCTTGAAAAAGAGAAGGCCAGGTTGTCTCATCAAACTCCAGGGTATGTACAACCAACCCCAAAGCATAATTTAGGAAACATCCCTTACAGGGTCATCAAGAAACACCTATTCCCCCTTCTCACTATCAACATTTATGAGATCCTACCTTGCCACAGCTAAAGCACAACTAGAAAGAACTTCAATTGGACTTTGGTCCGTGTATGGGGGGCTTGGGGCCCAAGCCGGTGACTTCACTGGGGTAAGGAACTCTAGTTGTGGAAACGCCAGCCCTGCTGATGTGCCCGGGTCACTTGGCCAAAGTCTACGGCAGACATGGCTTCCTGATTTCAGCCCTTCCCCACCCTGCCACGATGCCTCTCGTGCTCCCCAGCCTCTCTGCTTTAAAATACACGATTCTCAACAGAATTTCACTTTTGGACAGCACAAGTTAATGAAATTTCAGCAACAGTCACATTTTGAAAATTATCTGGCTCTGCTGTTTTTGTGAGGACAATTAGTTGATTTTCTTCTGGCTTCTTCCATTTCTGTGATCCCATAGAATTATAACATTAAAGTAGATCAAGAAAAGGAGAAAGTGCAAACAGGAAACAAGACACACCAGCACAGGAAAGAGGTCGGGCAGCTTGTGTGGAGGCTCTACAGTGATGCTCGTGAGGGTCAGAAGGCTCATCATCGTCACAGAGACTAGAAACTGTAATGAGAAGAAAAGGTCTGAGTAGAGGCACCGTGCAACATCAGCAGCAGTAACATCGCCACACGCATCTTTCCCAGGAGTCCCCTTGGGACTGAGAGGTTTTGGACAAAAGCTGGATCTAATCTAGATTTCACTCTTGGCGTCTCCTCTACATACACATGCACACACCCCCCCCCCCCCCATGACTAAGTGACTGAAAATCCAAGCTGACCGCGGCACACCTGAGATGCCGTCTGATGTCATGTTCATACTGCGAGGCTGTTAAGGATGCTAGTTATCGATTCAATTCAACAAATACAGATTTGAACACTTACTATGGTACTACAGGAAATACATGCAAATGATATGGCCCCTCCCTGCTGGAGCACCAGCAGCTTAGAGCTTCACTGGTCATAATCGCTGAAGTAAAGAATGAGAACGGGCCAAAATGAGGGAAGACAAGAGACTTCCTAGAGAAGGAAGATGCTGAGGAGAGGAAAACCCGAGCCCTGAAGGGTGGGCCCTTCATGGCGACAGTCTCCGGAGCATGGAGAAGCCCAAGCTTCACATGCCATAAATGGGGTGTCAAGGCCAGTCCCAAGGAGACTGTGGCCAGAAGAGCTTCTTCTTGGGGAGACTAGGTCAGTGCCTCATGTAGAGTTACTACTTGGTGGGGCGTCTACACTGAGAAGTGTCACATCGATGACCAGAATGCCCGTCCCTCCACTCTCTACAAGGCTTCGACCCCCCAGCAACAAATATCAGGTCAGGCAGGGGCATGGAAAGAATGTTCAGCAAGGGCTCCCCCCCCCCAAAAAAAACCTACTTACAAGAGGAAGGGCCCCTAGACTTTGGGTGCTCTGCCTTCTGGGTCTGTTAAGGAAGTTTCAACAAACCACATTGCTTAGGCATCAGGTGTTCATGATGACCTTAGCCCCAAGTGACCTTTCTTATTGGCTATGACAGCGCCATGGGGTGGTACAAAGTTCTCTGGAATGGAGTCAGGAACTCTGGCTTTGCCCCTGGCCAAAGGCAGATCTAATATGCCTCAGTTTCTTCATTTGTACAGTGGGGACAATAGAATTTGCACTACCTCCCTCCCAAGATGGTGGCGAGAAGTATGATTTAAATGGGTGCTGTTGTCATGGTTCTTCACGTGGGCCCATCTTTTCATCTCCCCTACTAGACTGTATGTTAGCTGAGGGCTGGTCCTCTTATTCATCTTTGCATGCTCCCTCCCCCTGCACCAGAATGACACTTAATAAACAGTAGGTGCTCTACAGATTACTGTCAAATGAATTAACCTTTGGGGGGAAAATGAAAGGACAAAAAGAATTAATTCTGGTCTAGAAAAAATATTCTCTTAAACTTTCTGGAGCAAAAACTACGTGGACATAGTCCTGTCTGTTTTGGTCAGATGACTTATGTGATGCCAATATTTTTTATATTATGCAAATAATGCCCTCATTTTAAACTACGATCATGTGATGAGGAAACATTTTAAAATGCATCTAGCAAATGGCTTACTCACGTAGCACTTCTGTACTTACAGCCAAGAAGCCTCACACACCCTCCCTAACCTACTGCTTTCCTGGATTCTTTATCAAAGACCCCAGGGAAAACCAGATTAACATCCCACATGGCTTCCCGCAACACTCTCTGCCCCCAGACACCCTGATAACGGCACCTCGTGGCCCTCAGGACAGATGCAGAGCCACGGTGGTCAGTGGGGAAGCAGTTTCTTCTTGACTTCCAAGCCTCTGGTCGCGGGCAAGGTACACTTTGGTAATGATCAGGAAAGCACTGCTGCCTCGACAGAGAGAGATGGGCAATACGGGGCAATTCCTAGACAATGACGTGACTTACCCAAGTTTTTAGCATCTTAGCAGGAACCTTGAAACCAGGGATATGCCTCCGAACATACACGGAAAAGGACCTTAATTGCAGTTCTTCTTCAGAAATGTTCTCAAATATCGAAAAGGAAGATGCACAGGCTACCCCAAAGCCTAGTGTCGTTCCAACGGAGGCCAGCGCTAGCTGGTCCTTCAGAAGAAGAGGAAGCATGCTGGGGAGGGAAACAAGCCAGACACAGCCACGTGAAACTCCACGAGGGAGCCTCTGGGGGAGCACAGAGAGGACGAACACCCAAGAAGGAGAGATTGTATACAGAGGCCACTCTGACTCACCTGAACGTTGACACAAGTAAAAACCATATTGACATAAACGGAACTTCGTTTAGAATTAAGCAGACTGGTCTAAAATGAGAAAGAAAAATATTTTAATACACAGAATTGTAATTCTGACTTTTGCTCTTAAGCCAGAATGTAAAAATACTGTATCTGCCTGACGTTTTCTTACTGGGCTGAGATGGAACCTGGTATGTGGAGCTAATGCGCCACGTTCCTTTTCTCTAACAAGCCAAACTAAGGAAGACTCCAGCTCCACAGAGACTGCCTGGGCAGCCTCCTGTGCTGCAGGCATCTCTTCACTACATAGAAAACATCTTCTAATCGCCCACCCCCTCACCCGCCCAATGGATGGCACCTTTCCTCTCTCCTAGAAACAGCTAACCCCAGCAAGGCTACAACAAACGGGCCTCAGGCTCCCACAAAATGGTACAACTGGGAGGGATTTAGGACTTGTTTGGTCCAACCTTCCCATTTTACAGATGAGGAAACTGAGGCCCAGAGAGATCAAGTGACTCGAGATTCCAGGGCTAGTGACGGCAGAGATGGGCCCAGACCACTTCAGGCTCTTCCTGATAGACTGAGTGGCCTCTCTGATGACCAGAAGAATGAAAACGTATAGGGAAAGGAGGGAAGCTCTCTTGATTCTCTCCTCCTGAGCTATCCAGAAGAAAAAATGAATCCTTAAGACAGCAATTTGTAGTGTTGTTCACCCTAATGTGCCTTCACAATCCATACCACCCAATTTCCCAAAGAAAAGAAAACCAATAGCCAGGACAACAGCAGAGAGGCCAAGAGTTTGTACAGAGGACAAAAGGAGGACGAGGGATGAAGCAATAAGGGGCCGGGTCATGCTAGAGCTTGAGTCCAAAGGCTAAGCTAACAAAATGACACCAAAGAGAGGTCTGTACCAGACGTGTGCTCAGTGACCTCATCAGAGCAGGGTGAAGAGCCTGGCCAACATGAAACTGTCTCGTGCTCCCCAAAGGATCCAAGGCATCTCCTCGACAATGCCAGGACCGGCCATCTCTGCATTTTTTCTCCAGATGGGTCGTCTGGACTCTGTGTGTGCTCTTTCCATTCCTCCACCAACGTCATCAAAGATGAAAAGCTCCTCACTGAGCTCTGCGTGGGACCTCGCCCAGAGCCAGTCTGACAAGAACTTTCTCATTACTGGGGCAGAGATGCTTTTCTGCCTAAGTAAGGTAACTTTCTCCCCTCCCCAGGGCAGCCCCAGAGTCAGGCCCTGGAGCATGGGGTGCTAAGTGTCTTAGCTTTTAAGTTTCACACGCACTGTTCACACTTTCTCTATCACTTTCTTGTGACTACACAGATCAGTACTACAGTAAGCCAAGCCCTGTTGGGAGCTTGCTGATTTCCAAGGTGTGTCAATGCTCACCCACCTGCTCACTCTCTTGTGAGCCACTACCTCTCCCCCACCTAAAACCCTGAGAATGGGAGGAAGGGAGAAAGGAGACCTGCTGGGTTCCCATTATTAGCCACAAGTAAACAAGCCTTTTCTTTCACCCTCCCTCAACAATTGGTCTTCAGCAGCTGCGGCTTTCCCTGTTCTGAAAATACTCAAACTGAGGTTCACAGGAACGTCACCTCAGGTGAAAACAGGACTCGTGTGATGTACCCTGGGCACCAGTCACCAGGGGACTGGACGTGCTCCTGACGACAGTACTCCTTCTGAAGTCAGCTGGGGGTTCGGCGTCCAGAAGAAGAGAGAAGTACGGGGAGGGAAGGGATCAAAATGACGTCAGGAAGGGGTCGCGAAGGTCTCTCTGGCTCCGAGTCTAGAACCCCAGGAGCCGCTGAAGAGATTAATAAGCCTCATTCATCGCTCACTCCATTCTACAAACATTATTAAGCCCTGCTTGACTCTATGTGGGGCCCAAGTGCAGCGGCGTAGCTTATTTGCTGTAGTCTTAATACATGCTAGTGTGCTAATTATAGTGCACATTTCTATCTATAAAGCACAGATTTATTACATGTCGAAAGATTTTACTTACAAGGAGACCAAAAGGATGGATTTTTCATGTACTTGGAAGGAGAACAAGAAGAATGACAAAGCACAGCTAACCTGTACAGGAGGCAAAAAAAGAAGAGGGGACATAAAATCAATACACACAAAATGTGCACAGTAATTTAAGCAGGATTGCTTCGGTGAGACATGCAGAATACTATGGGGATAAAATTCATTCGGATCAATTCTAGTATCTGCACTAAATACTTATGAGCAACATTATTATTAAAAAGCTACACGCAACTACTTACAATGTATTCATTTAATAAAAAGCAAAACCTCAGCTTTCGGAGAGAAACAACTGCACCTTCACCTTCCATTCACAGTGTGGAGATGTCAAAATAAAAAGTATGGATGAGTAAGAATGTCACAATTATACCTTAACTCCTCAAAGCTATCTTAATGCTAAAAGCGGGCTGTAAATTGAATAAGATGTTTAAATTCATAATTTGATTTTTCAAGTTTAAGAAACCAGATTTTGGAGAAATCGTTTTTAGCATATAAATTTTTATGCTCAAAAATTACCTGTACTAGGAGTCACCCATAGAGACATTAAAAAAACTTACTGGATCATACGTACTCAAACGAGTGAACAAAATTAAGGAAATCATTCCTGTATGTCACTTATATGCGGATGGAGTGATTGCTAGAGGGGATGAGTACAAAAGGCACCAGGAGAGGGGCCACTGGAGTAAAGGACAGGATGGTGACAATTTCAGAGGGTTTTGGAATGTTCAGTTGGGAAGACTTAGGGGTTCACAACACAGCCTCAATTAGGACTAGAAGACAGAGAAGTTATTTAAGGGCTGTGGGGTGGGAGGGCAGAGATAAGTGCTTCTAAAAGCCTAACTGGGTAGCTAGATGGCATTACAGTGGATGGTACACTGGACTGGAGTCAGAAAGACCTGAGTTCAAATCTGGCCTCAGACTCTTACTAGCTTTGTGATCCTAGGTAAGTCACTTAAACCTGTTTGCCTCAGTTTCCTCATCTGTAAAATGAGCTAGAGAAAGAAATGGCAAACCAGTATCTTTGCTAAGAAAACCCCAAATGGGGTCATGAAGAGTTGGACATGACTAAAAACAACTGAAAAACAAAAAACCTAAACAGATAAAGATTATACTATAGCCAACACTCCTATAATAATGTTTTCTACCATATCTTTATCCAAAAGACAGAATTATTACATTCATTATTATACTTTTACATTATTACATATATTACATTTGAACATACTGTTCAAAAGAACAGAATTATTACCCTAATCCTGCAAACAGTTTTAATACTTTCCACTATTCCTAAAGCCAAAAGCCAGCACCTGTTAGACCCACACTCCTGGAAAGCCCCCAGGTTCTCGGAGAACAGCCTATCACTTATAAAGACAACTACTCAAAATGTCACCCACCAAATAAATCCCCAGGAAAATCTAACCCCAAAATAATGGGACAGGAAGGCTACACCTAACTCTATTTTACACAGCCATGCACCAAAAAAGCACAACAAATGACGGGGGGCAGGGGGCCTGCCAATGCACCGGCACCTGAATCCTGGGATTGGGCAGTTTCTATGCTGCAGTTCCCATCTAGCTCCACTAGGCTCCACTGTTTCCATAAAATACATTTTCTTTCTCTTCAAGGAGAAAAGCCACTCAAGACAAAGCAGGACCACTGAGCAGGAGCCCGTGGTTTTCCAAGTTGGCCCAAAGAAACCTCAAGCTGCACAAATTCACTCTTAGAGAAGAAAGCGGTTCTGCCCGTCTGCTCCATGAGCCAGTCCAAAGCACTGAGTGTGTGAAAAAGGGAGAATCTCCTATTAGAAGGGCATACAACACTTACCAGAGCGTACTTGAAGCCTCTGAGACTGGGCTGAAGGGTGAGCTTTAGGCACGCAGGAAGCAGGCTCAGGAACGTCAATGCAAAGCTAGAAGAGTTTACAGGGTTTCATTGAGCAGATTCTCTATTCTCCCAAAATGGCGCCCCACCTCCCATCCTATGGCCTCTGCCCGGGCTGGGCACGCGCCCTCTGACCTCCTCTCTGAGGCTCCCTCGGGTCAGCATCGCTGTTCCTGCCCCTTTCCGGTCTTTATTCTGCATATACATATTTATGTATGTGTCGAACCCTAACGCCACAACTATCCCCCATTCTGTGTTAGCATCCCCAATACTGAGCACAGTGCCCCCCCCAAAAAACCCACCATGCAACTTTTATTATAAATATATTTTTCAACCTAAGAAATTTTAAATTATAGACAGACGAATATATAAATTATGGACATAACAACAACAACTACAACAGTAACAGAGGCAGCTAGTGGCATAGGGCAAAAGAATGCTGGGCCTGGAATCAGGGAGGTCCGAGTTCAAATCCGGTCTCAGACATTTTCTAGATGCGAGACCCTGGACAAGTCACTTCATCTCTGTCTGCTTCAGTTTCCTTAACCGGAAAATAGAAATAATACTAGCACCTACCTCAAAGGGTCAAGTGACGTAATAATCATAAAGCGCTTAGCCCGGTGCCTGGCACACAGAAGGTGCCATAGAAATGGTCGCTATGTGCTGTCGTTGTGGTTGTCATCATTATTATTATTAGATCTCCCCGTCCCCTTGCTTATCCACTCTCCCAACCTACAGCAGGTCACAAGTAGCAAGTTAGAAGGGAGAAGGCCTTGCCTCTTTGAGCAGTATCAAAGGCAGTAAGAAATGCTGGCCAGTGGTGAGGAAAGAGGGGGAGAAACAAAAGTCAGCACAGACCCGGGTCGCTCCGGACAGGAGGGAGCTCCCTCTGGCTCTCCTGGGGCCAAGCTCCAGGCGATACATTCACTCTGAGCCCAAGACACGGTCCAGAGGCTAAATCGGGTCGTGCTCTTTCTTTCTTTCTTTTTTTTTTTTTAAAGGCAAACAGTCCATTTCAGAAATACTCTCATCCAAATGGCTGACACACAACACTGTCAGGCCTTCAGTTATCTGAAAAATACGTCATTCCCTGATGACGACCCCAGGGCACTCATGGACACTGAGCAATTACTCCAAGAACTCCTACCTGAACATCAGCTGGGTGTGAGGTGAAAGAAGGCTCTTTATCTTCAGAAGGACATTGAGACTGCACCAGAAATTGGCTACTTTGTCCTTAAAAGAGAATTGCTCGTTTTAGATTTTGTTATATTTGAGAGAAATTTTTAAAAATTAGTAAAGCTCATCTTCCCATGTATTCTACCCTAAGGTAAGGGAGAGGGGGCAACTTTGTCCAGACTTTTGAGGTACAGTTCATAATGAAAGGTTAGGAACGAATGTGCCTAAAATAGCCGAGAATTCCTCACACAGCCTTCCAGGCAGTTGATGTCACCAAAAATTTTAAAATAGAGTACTTTAAATCATTTTCTTTGGAAATGCTCTGAAAAAGCTATTTTTCCAGAATGCTGTTATTATCCACCCGAATTACGGAAAATAACCTAACTCACGGCTGGCAACGCCAGAGTTAACTACTAATAAATCAAGCAGTTTGAAGACGTTAGCAGTTGTGCTAGGATCACTTTCAAAATTAAATTTGTAACCCAGCTCTCATGCTCCCGAAACCCACCCTCTCCACAGCTGCTTCAATCACAGCTGTGAAGGCCTGACATCAAGAAAGCGACTTGCCCCACAAGCGCGCCGTCCCCCCCGCCAGGCTGCGCGGCCACACAGGAGATGGTCTTCCTGCTGACTGAGGATTACAAGGCAGTACCGGCCAACAAACACTTAAGATGCCAGCAAGAAATGTTCTAACCATCAGCATTTGTTACCATTTCAGAAATGGAAGCTGAGTCAGAGAACGTGTGAGAGGCACACAATCCTCCACTTGGTGGGCTCTGCTGACAAAGTTAATCTGATTTATTTACATGAATGCCCAAGGAAATAATTTCCTGCTCAACCTAAAACCCATCTGAGTCAATTACAGGTAAAAATAACATACAAGCATACATGTGTCCGTACCAACTCCACCTTCTTGGGTTCCTTAAAAATACTGGTTAGATACATGTAAAAATTATTTTAAAATATGATAAAACTGTTTTTTTTAAAATTCTAAACATACAACTTTGGCCTTTAAATAGCATTCTTTTCAAACTTCTTTTTTTCTCCTACAAAAGGTGACAGATTTTCAGGGTCAGTGCTCTGAGGGACACGCCATCCCAGGCTTCTGACTAGCACTCGTTTTAGGAGAACGACTCTGAATGTGCTGGCCGGGTTTCTCTTTAGTTAAAAGCCTTTACACTGGGGAAAATGTTTTTGGTATAACCTAATTACTGAGTTTCACTTAGAACTATTTACATAATACTACATCAAAGAAGACTGATAAAGTTGGAATTACAGTTCAACGTTTTCAGTAAAAATTAGTGCCAATAAAACCATCCACTAATTGTTTCTGAGGTTTTCCAAGTGACGTCCTTAGACTGAAGAAGAAAAAGAATGCCAACCTCTCCCCCGAGGAGCTAACTTTATAGCCGCATCTTCTGACACCGTCATTTACTACGGAATGCATTTCAGCGGAAAAATGTAGGCCTGAAATATGGATCTGATGATGGCATCAATATTACCTTCTCATATACTGTCCTAGAAGATGCCAGCTGAGCTCGGGGTTAAATCCTGGATTAAATAACTGGCAAAGAGGCAGTGCAGGAGGGGCCCGTTTCGAGTTACCAGCCCTTGTATGTCTTCCACATGAAACCCCTAAAGGTCACGGGGGAGGCTTCTCAAGGGAAGGGCCGGGAGGAAAGTCAGTAAACATGCCTCAAAGAGTCCCCGGCCAACTGGGAAGAGTCTTCTTAGCACTTGCATGGTCTGTTCCAATTGTGTGAAAAAAGGCAGCCAGCAGAGAGCAAAGGCAGCGACCACGGTGGTGATGAGTTTAATGAGCAGCAACAACCTGGGGCAGAAAGACAAGCAGGGTGGAGGAATTAGCCTCCTGCTCATTCCCCGCTCTACTCCACATGCAAAGTCAAGGGACAAAATGTAAATGGTGGAGGAATGCTGAATCAATGCTATTACAGTAGGCGGGAACTGGCTGGGGGGGGGGCGGGGAGCGAGAGGAGAAGGGTTCTGGGGGAGCTAACCCCTGTTAGAATCCGAAACAATTTCCAATCCAATGAAAACACACTCTCTTCCAGTCCAGAGACAAAGGGCACATCCGTCCCTGGCTAACATTTAACTCTAATTGCAGCAACGACCAATGTAAAAACAATTTATCACATAGATTCAAATAACAGGGCCCAGAGACTGGACCTGCACCTTAGTTGGTAAAGGGCCCTCCCAGAGGAGGAAATTCCCTCAACCAACACAAGCTGCTTGCTAGAGCCCTGAGCCCAGGAGTCAAAGGACGGAACCGAAACTGGATCTTCCTGGCTCTGAGACCAGCGCTCGCTGCCTCTCACCCTCAAATAATACATCAATACAACAATGCATCAAAATTCAGTGTGTTCTCTTCTGATCATGGCTTGGAAACCTACAGGGAAGAATAAGGCCCAGCTCTAACTAAAAAACTAAGTAAAATGGAAGAAAAATAGATAAAACAAAGAAAGACAAACAGTGAAGGCAATGCTCCATAACTCGCCAAAGAAAATAGCTGGGAAGGTCAGGAACAAGCCCTCAGGGACTCAGATGTCCACACGCTGATGCAGAGGAGATGTGTCCTAACATTTCAAACTCACTTTTGTTGAGTACAGAGGTAAATAACGGCACTTCAGAGATGGAATTCATAATGGAAATATGGCAAAGAAAGGGCATACCTTGTTTAAAGGAAACATCTCCCAGAAAGGTAGGGGAATAGAGCTACCCATTACAGATGAAAATCTGCCTGTGAGGGCACCCTGTGCTGATGAAAGGAAACAGAAAGAAGCATACCGCAGGACTGTGCCACGGACAGCCCAGGCAGATGGAGGATAGGACTGATGCTTTTTCAGTGTGGCTCACAAAACTGGCAAGCTAGAGTGGAGACAGGGACTCAACTCTTTCTACAGCTGCCATTAATCTTTGAAACTGCAGATGGAGCAGCAAATCTTTGCTATCTGGACAATATTCTCTCTCAACAGGGAGAAGAAATAATATGGAAAACTATCCCTCTGAGCTTCATTCTAAAAGGAAGGACTGAGCAGATAAAAAGAAAGCCACCAGAATTAAGAGATAACGTGACCCAGTCACCTAGAAAGCATATCAGTCCAGGATAAGAACAGTGGGCACTGTCAGACGATGAGACAAGTCCACTTACTTCTCCCCTCCTGTCTGCAGGCTGCTGAGTTTCCCTGATATCATGAAATGACAATGACTTCAATCACTACGAACCTGGGCTAGGCCTCGCTGCTGCTTGGAAATTCTTCTCTTTTGTTCCCCTATCTCATTCTCTTTAACAAGTGCTCCAAGCCCCTCTCCTAAGCCCCCAACCACAGGTACAGAATGAGATTTAGCCTCCAATTTTGCTAAGATTAAGACCATTTGATGGGAGCTCCTACAATCCCCCCCAAGTCCTCAATCTAATCTCTTCTTCTGTACCTTTGATCTTATCCCCTTCCACTACAAAAAGAGACCATATTTGTAAAGAACTTTGCACAGTATTTGGCACATGGTAGGTCCACAAAAAATGCATATTCCCCTCCCCTCAGCCCCCATTTCCATGGCTAGGTTCCAGTGCCCCCCCCATCATTCTGATTCATTCACTCCAAACTCCCTCTTTCCACTGTCCCAACCTCAGTTTACAAACCTGTCCTCTATTCCTAGAAAACCCTGTTCCCCTGTCTCTTCTAAACCCTCTGTTACAGTAGCCTCAGGATTTAACTAGTTCAAAGCTAGCCTAATTTGTACATGAGGCAAGAAATGGCCCCAAGTCAGCTGCCTGAACAAAAGTCTGATAACTGGATAATGAACCTGGTAGCTAAAGAGAAACCGCCAAGGCTATTGTGCCACCTTGGGTGTAGACAACATGGCAAAATGCTCTAAGACTTGGTGACTAGTCACGTGGGCTGGACCAGAGAAGAGAAAGGAAAACGAGGATAAGGAGGAAGAATTACAGTGACAGGCAGTCAGCTGGTACATCAGCATTTATTAAGGCCAAGAAAGAAAAAACTAATGGTGAATCCAAGGATGGCCAGCACCCTTAGGAAGCTACGTTTGCTCAGTCAGACTTGGGGGCACGAGCCAGGCTGGTGCGTGTTAAATGTTATAGGAGGGCAAATATAAAGACAGACATCTGAGAGCATTATGGGGATGGAACAAGAGAATGGCCCAAGCCAGGCTTGTGTCCAGATGCTATTCAACTACTCATGTGTAGCAAGCCTACACCTTTCGGCAAGACTGCAGTTTTACAAATTCCATCAATGACTCAGATAACTCTTGGTGGAGTCTAAGTTAATCTAAGACGCCAGGCGATCATGCATGGGAAGGTTAGGGAGGCATTCTACCAGAAGGATGAGAGTTAGAGCTACATTTTAAGAGGGAACCAGAACGGGGAGAATTCTTAGAATCATGCCACTGGACAAAGAACTGAAGGGATGCTTAATGTCATCAAAATAACATAGATCTAAATAAACATAGAAGAGATCTGAAAACAGTAGAAAAGCTGTCATAGGAAAAGAGAAATGAAACATTGTGCAGAGTGCCTAAAATAAAGGTCAAAGTAGGATGGGGAAAAGGTACGTGGTGTCAGATTGAGCTCTCTAGAAGGCATGACCAACAATCTGGGGTAAGAAGGAAATAAGCTGCCTTATGAGTATATGAGCTCCTTGTCGACAGAAGCCGTCAAGGAGAGATTGTCAGGGATGCTGTCAAAGGTACTGATTACTGCAGAGTAGCAGGCTGGCCAAGGGGACCTGAGGTATCTCCCAATGCAAGCACTCTATGATTCTGTTTTTCCAAAGATCATACAGGTTGTATTATCTTACAATTACTCCCAATACTGCATAATCTAATGTTCCAATTAGCCAAGGACTGTGTACTTGCAATAGGTGCTCACTCAGTACAGTTAGTCAGTCAATAAACACTGATGGAGAGGGAGACAGCACGCAAACGATGACGTACCAACACGCTACAGGCAGGATAAACTGGAGATAATTAAGTGGGATTGGAAAAGATTTCTTGCAAAGGTGAGACTTTAACTGGGACCTGAAGAAAGCCGGGGAAGCCAGGCGGCAGAGATGAGGAAGGACAGCGTCCAGGAACACGGGACAGCCACAACCAGGCGGGGGGGGGGGGAGGTGTAGAAAGACCGCCAAGGTGGGGCAGGCGCTCTCTCATGAAGGGCTCTGAGCACTCTGTACTGGATTCTGGAGGGCATAGGGAGCCGCTGGAATCTACAGAGGAGGGGTGACAGGGTCGACACAGTCAGATTTCACCTGGCTTTAGGAAGATCAAGAAATATTTGCTGAATTCCAGGAAGGACAAAATGACCAAGCTATGAAAATGCAAACTGGACACATCAGTGCGATAATCTGGGCACTCCACTGAAAGATGGCCAACGACAAAGGGAAAGAAATCCAGGCAGGCAGCCTGGATGCTGTGGACACGTGGAGTCACGATCACAGGAAGCTCAGGATGGTCAGCCTGGCGGACAGTCAACCAAGTGTGTTCCTGAAGCCATTTTCTGGATTCCAGCACTCAAAACCTACTCACCCCTTTCCTTTCAGGTCCTTCTTCAAACATTTGCCTAGCAAAAAGCAAAAGAAGGGCAAAGAATGGTAAAGTTCCATCTGTTTGTAATTTAAGGCCAGGCAAAATGCCAACGATCCTAGGATGTCCCAGTCATAAGACAGGCCAAGAACACCCCACAGAGTCAAGCCGAGACTCACACAATTATATATGTTTCCACATTAAGGAAAAGATCCACATGAGGCCAAAAAGCATATCGAGAACTGCACAGACAATTTTTCATATATAATAAAATACTCTAAAAAAATTAAAATATTCTTTAAAAGATAATTCTTCCTAAGCAGAAACTAATCATTAAAGCAATAGTGGTAATTTGCTACAGCACATGATTTGTTCAGGATTAAAAGATCTACAATTGGTAAACTGAAATTTTTCCTCAGATAATAGCAATGAGACAACTGAATCAATGAATATTAAATATGTTAAAATCTTGAAAACAAAAAAGTCTACCAAATAAGCACACTTTCAAGTACAAAGAAACAATGACTTACCCTACAAGGCCATCCCCCAGAACAAATGAACATGTACGTTCAATTAACAGCAATAAAGCTGCTGCATTAAAATACCACTAATTGTCATAATCAAAGTGCATCCTATTTTCGTGGCACTTTTCTGCCACAAATTTGTTTTATCTGTAAAATGAGGGCAGCAGGACGTGGGGGACTTGAAGGTTCAATTCTGGAGCTCCTCCTGACGTCCCAGCCATCTTCTGATAGTTTTGCCAGCTGCTTTGCTGTCCAGAACCTTTCATCTCTAGAACTCCACCCTGGGGGCCCACTGTCCTAAAGGAAGACTGACTCTCTTGGCCCCCTATTTCAAAAAGCCCCAGTCATGCTTCTCATCCTCCCTCATCTCTGTCCATCTTCTTGCCAGCCTCTCCCACCACCCTGGCCAAGCCTTTTACCCCCTCGAGCTCTGGAATCAAATGCACTCTGCCATGTTCCCTAGAAGAGGTGTGTCAATCTGTTCCCTTATCAGCCCATCATCCCTAAGTTCATAACCAGAGCACCCCTCCCTGGCCAACACTCCCATGTATGGAGCATCTCCCAGTTAGATTAGAAACTCCTTGAAGCAAGGACTGCCTATATTTTTGTACCAGTAGACTTAGCACATGGCACAGTGCTTAACAAACAGGAAGAGCTTAATACTTTATCACTTACTCAGTGTGCTGATAAATGAAAGAACTGCCATGTAGCAATAAGAGCCCAGCTGACCCAAGCCAGCACATTTTTGTAGAAGGCAGAGTTCTGACGTATGGGAGCAAGGATGCAGAAGGCTTAGAGGGGGAAGACACCACAGATAAGATCAAGTGAAGGAGTGCAGAAAGGAAGGGAGGGAGGGAAGGAGCAGGCATTTATTAAGTACCTATTACATTCCAGGCACAATGCTAAGTACTTTACAAACATTCTCTCATCTGACCCTTAGATCAAATCGGGGGGAGGGGGGCCTCTGGAAAAAAAGAGGAGGCTTAGAACAGCTGCTGTGGGACACAGGGCTGAGAATCGATTTAGGATTAGAAGTGCCCTGTGGCAGTGAGGACCCACCTGGAGCTCAGGAAGGATCTGGGGGCCATCAGTAGCTGAATTTTTCTGGGAGGCTGAGACGCTTTCTCACACCTCTCCCATGTTCCCTCTACATCCTCCTTGGTTTGCTATGAATCAGTGACGGTTTGTTAACCATGGAATGGGGGTTCTACAGACATAGCAGGGTACAGAGCTGGAGTGAAGAGGAATGAAAATCTGGAGAGAGAAGAGGACGCCTACCACGTTCTGGCTGGTGTCTGCACTCCCGCCTCTGGACGACACATGCTGGGGAACACTCCCCGCACACTATCAGGGCACAGAGAATAAGCAGACATGGGGGACAGAGAAGCTGGGGGTAGGGGACAGCCAACAGTCCTACAAACACCAAGCCCCTCTTCACTCCATCACCTGCCAAATTCCCCGCATTCTGGACTATGCCCCTGCTCTCACCAGCCCCCATGGCCTGTGCCCCCTTCACTCTGCCTCCAGCCCTCAGGCTGGGTCACTCTGTCTCCCTTACACAAGTGCTTCTACCCTTTCCTCATCCTACGCCTTCCCTGCAGTCTCCATGGGACTCACCTTCATCAAGTACAGACTTGGCCATGTTCTCGGCTCCTACGGACCTTTCCATGGCTCCCTATTGCCTCCTTCCCCAGCAGCACTGAAGGCCTTCCACAAGCGAAAGCCTCACCACAGTCCCCTCCCCCTCCTCTCCTTCTGGCTCAGCTACTGTTTGTATGTGTTCCCGATGCCTGGAACACCCTGCACCTCTTCCTTTTCCCATCCCCCCCTCGAACCCTCAGACCTTCACTACCAGCCCTACTCCAACAGCAGCTCTTTCCATACTGCTCTATGTTCCCCAGACCTGGGATCTCTCCCTTCCTCTATGGTGCTGAGCAATGACTTCTCTGGGGGAAGGTCGGATTCCCTGCCTGATGCCAAGCTCCAAAGTCAGCGAATGCTTCCATCGCAATGTTGCCCACTGCCCCCCAATTCAGTATCCTTAAGAAAATGTGCTAACAGCACTCAGCAGCAGCTAGGGACTTCACGAGCTTCCCAAGCTGGAGTGGGAAGGCAGACACAACAGAGACAGGGATAACCCAACAACACAACTGAGGATCTTTGAGTGTCCTTTGACAGATACGCATATTAATTTCATTCCAACTAAAACAAATTGGCTTCAAAAGGAAAAGCTGTTAATTAAGCCATCAGGTTGCTGTGCATTATGGTTTTTTTCTTTGGACAGATGGGGACAGGAACTCTAGATACACCAGAAGCCACACACATGCCTTAGAATTGGACTTTCTGCTGTTTTCCGTTTAAGCATCTCTGGTTACTAGCACAGCGACTCGGGTCTGCAGAGATTTTAGTCATGTTGTCTGTGGGCTTTCCTTTAGCACTTCAAAGGAGACAGTACGGACCTGTGCCTCATTCTCACACCCTGCTGCCTGCTTGATAAGCCCAAACAAGAGGATTCTCTGGTTGTTAGCACCCGGCCACTTATTCACGTGTATGGGCACCACACCCTTCTTAGAGGGAGCTAAGAACCTGCCACTATTTTCCTCCCAGGCCAGACAGGTATGAAAACACAGCCCTTTTAATTCATTCGAACTCCAGAACAACAAGAAAATACTCCATTCTTGGTGAATATGACAAATTTTTTTAAGCAAAAAACTCTACCAAACACTATCAAAACAGAAATTCATCTAGCATGAAGATAACACAAAGTGCTACACTATTTAAGTGTAAAGTTCAGAATAAGCAAAGCAAAGATTTCACTTCTAAGTTTGTAAAGGATACTGAAAATGTCCATAGTCAATCAGAAGAAGACCTGGATACAGCAATATGCAAAAGGCATTCGCAATCTGGAGAGAAAAACAGTACAAGGCAAAAATGAATCTCCGGACCAAGTGAAGCAGGGCGGCCCATAAACGGCGGTCTTGAGCCCTTAGGGGCTACTTTCCCCCCTAGCTATCCAAAGCTTCTTTTCTGTCAACCCTGAATTCAAAGCTGTCCTCCAATGGAAAGGTCAGGGCTCTGAAGGAGCAGCCCCCAGCTCGGGGGCCCAGAAGAATGGGGGAGATCCTCGGGGCCACCTGTCCTCCTGGTGAAGGAAAAGGGACACCAGGAACACGTCCCCTTGGCAGCTCCTTTCCAAATCTCTGCACAAGGCCTGCGTCCCAAAGGCCACCCTTGGGTGCGGCGTGCTCGCGCAGCACTAAGTGTGACAGGAGCACACAGCCCCCAAAATCCAGCTCATCTCGTTACTGTTACCGAAGGACATTCAGATAACTGCGGTACAGTAAGTTAGGGTTTTCTGACTGAAAAGTCTTGAATAGGAGACAGAGCGGCCTCCAGCAATTTTATCTAAATCCCAAGTGGTGTGAATGACTTTGTTCTTCAGCTTCTCCATCCTTAAGCTAATGAGGAAAGTATTTCCATAAGAAGATGAAAGTGAACTCAATTATTTGGATACTTGCCTTCTTTCTGGGTGAAGTTTCTTTTAAATAACAACAATATAAAACAACCGCAGGTATGTAAATCATCAAATCAGCAATAAAAACTGAAAGACAAAAGGTTAACAGTCCATGAGCATCATTCCTGGGTCCGCAGTCCATAACCTCGCTTGCCTTCTCTATCCTGCCAACCTAGATCCCGCCCAGCTGCATCCCCTCAGGAAGTACACCAAGGGGTTCTTGCCCACTGCTGACGGGCGCCTCTCTCCCCCACTGCTGCTTGTCACCTCGTTGTCCTGAGTGATCACACAGACGGACGCACAGACTTCCTCCAAGTTCCCCTTAAAATGCAACACAGAAAGAGTAGAGGAAAAAAATAATCTCCCTGTCTTCTAATGTAATTGGCTGCTTCTGGCATGACAGAGGAATGCCAACATGGCATGCCATGGGAAATGGTACATACGACCACGTGAAAATGTAAAACATCTAACAGGATCCCGTAGCAAGAACAAGTAAATCCGTCAGCGGCAGACAGAGCCACGGACAGAAAGGCTGCCCCCACCTGCAGCTCCAGGCTTGAGGAAGCGGCCTCCCAGCCGGGCCACCCCCACCGGCCCTATCTCCCGCTTCATGGCACCAGGAGGCCCTCCTTCTCCTGCCCACAAGGTACAACACTCATCTGCGCAGTGTCTCCCGGGGAACATGGCAGGTACGTGATAACCATTAGCTGAATACAAAAGCATCAGAACCTCCACCTGAAGCATTAAGACCAAAACTCCAGGCCTTCTTCGCTGTCCAAAGGCAAGGCAGGAGAGCGACAGACTATGGAGGGTGTGAACTTCCTGGCCCACATGACCCACCCAATGCTACAACATTAGAAGGTGACAAGTATGGGGCTCCAAGCTTCTGTGGGCAATGAAGACCCCAAAGGCCAGCGGGGGGGGGGGGGGGTGTTCCTTAAATGTTTTGGACAGCTCACACAGGGCAAAGCCAAGAGATCCCTAAACTTGGAGGGAGGAAGAGTCGCATCTGAATCCTCCTTAGCCCTGCAATAGCTGTGTGACCGGGGGCCTCACGAGGCTTCTTTACTGGTCAAATGGGGTAAGAACAATCCACTGCCGGGACGTTGTGAGGATCACAGGCAAGAACACACGCACAGGTCTAGGCACACACCACAGCACAGCTCAAATGCTGGCTGCTATCACAGAGCGAGTCCTCTTTTTACCAGGTCAGAAAATGAGCGAACACAGTTCTGCAGGTGCATTTGTAGCAAACACCCTTTGGTGATGAGGAGGAAACAGACTTTTATTTGCCCCATGACCACAGGAAAGACTTCTCAAAAGAGCACAATTATACTGCTTCAAAGAACATGGACAGCAGGAGAAACCAAGATGGCGGCACAGAGGAAACACTCTGCTGAGCTCTCCCAACATTCCCCGCTCACCTCAAATCAAATTATGAAGCAGCAGAGATGAGAAGCAGATTCTGCGTCCCTGGGCGGGGGCTGACCTGGTGCACACATGGCAGCAACATGACAGGTGGACCTTGGAGGTAACGGCAGCAGCAGTAGCTTTGGGCACTCTCAGCCCAGAGACGCCCAGACGGTCAGACAACTGGTCAGAAAGAGATTACAGAGGGCCCTGCGTGGGCAGCTAACTTCATACCCAGTTCCAGGTCAGAGTTCTAGAGCACAAAGGCACACTAGCACCTGCAGCTGCAGGGGAGCAGGGCCCTTCCCGGGTAAAGACCAGAGCGCAGACCAAGAGAGCAGTGACCATACCTCTCCCCAGAACTGGCTGTGAAAACAGCAGAGTGAGAAAGCCTGAAGCTTAGTACAGGGCACCTCCCTGCCAGGCCCCTATCCCACCCCACGGTGAGCACAAAGTCCAACTTTAACATAAAATTCAAACTAAAGAAATAGGCTGAAAAATAAGCAAGCAAACAAACAAACAAAATAATCTGACCATAAAAAGCTACTATGGTGACAGGGAAGATCAAGACACAAACTCAGAAGAAGACAATTCCTTGAAAATAGCTACATACAAAGCCTCAAAGAAAAATGCAAATTAAAAATAAAACCAACAAGGATTCCTGGAAGCTTAAGGAAAGAGCCAAAAAATGATTTTAAAAATCAAATAAGGGTGGCAAAGGAAAAATTAGGAAAAGAAGTGAGAGTAAGGGAAGAAAATCATGAAACAATAATGGATAGTTTGGTAAAAGAGGCAAAAAAAAAAAAATACTGGAAAAAATAACACCTTATAAAGCCGACCTGGTCAAATGTGAAAAAGAGGTACAAAACATCACGGAAGAGAATAATTCTTTTTAAAATCAGAATTGAGTAAGTGAAAGCTAATGACTCCATGAGACATCAAGAAACAATAAAACAAAGTCAAAAGAACGGAAAAAAAATTATAAAACATCTGACCTGGAAAACAGATCAAGGAGAGACAATTTAAGAATTATCGGACAACTTGAAAGTCATCATCAAAGAAAGACACTAGACATCACCCTGACAGCCTGGAACCAGAAGGTAAAATTAGAAACTGAAAGAATCCACCAACCATCTCCTGAAAGAGATCCCAAAGTGAAAACTCCCAAGAGTATCATAACCAAATATCAGAGCTCCCACAATAAAGAAAAAATATTTCAAGCAGTCAGAAAGAAACCACTGAAATACCATGGAGCTATATCAGAATAACACAAGATTTAGCAGCTACCACAATAAAGGAGGAAGAAAACTAAGAATAACCTACCCAGCTAAATCGAGTATAATCCTTTAGGGGTGGAGGGGGGAAAGGGATATTTAATGAAAGAGAGGACTTTTGAGCATTCCTAATGAAAAGACAAGAGCTGAATAGAAAATCTGACTTTCAAATATAAGACTCGAAAGAAATATAAATAGGTAAGCCTGAAAGAGAAATCATAATGATAAATCTGTTTACACTCCTACATGGGAAGATGACACAGTAATTCCTAAGAACTTATCATAATGAGGACAGCTAAAAGGAGCCTATATATAGACAGGCGGCATGGGTGTGATTCAGTTATGTTGAGATGATCTCAAAAAAAAAATTTTTTAAATGGACAAGTGAGAAAAAGGGATGCACTGGGAGAGGGTGGAAGAATGAGGAAAATTATCTCACATAAAAGAGATACATAAGGAAGAGCTTTTACAGTGCAGAGGAAAACCAGGCAATGCTTAAACCTCCCTACCATCTGAATTGGTTCAGAGGGGAAGGATACATACATACACTCAGGGAAGTCAGGGGAGAAGGGGGCAAGAGCACTGGTAAGAGGAACGGGGATTAAAGGAGGCAGTAGTCACGAGCAAAAAAGACTTCTGAAGAAGGGAAAATTTATTTCTCTAAATGTTTACATCAATAAAAGAAAGAGAGATCATTGAATTGGGGATGCAATTTAAAAAACTAGAAAAAGAACAAATTAAAAATCCTCAATGAAACACCAAAATAGAAATCCTGAAAATCAAAGGAGAGATTAATAAAATTGAAAGTAAAAAAACCATTGAACTAATAAAATAGAAAGTGGTTTAATAGAAAAAGCAATAAAGTAAACAATTGGTTAATCTGATTTTTTAAGCATTTATTGAATGTTTATTATATGCTATGTGCTTTTCTTTTTAATTAATAAATTTATTTTAGTTTTCAACATTTACTTCCACAAGATTTTGAGTTCCAAATTTTCACCCCATCTCGCCCCTCCCCCCACCCCAAGATGGCATGCATTCTGAATACCCCTTCCCCCAGTCTGCCTTCCCTTCTAACTCTCCCCCCCCATTCTCTTATCCCCTTCCCCTTCAATTTTCCTGTAGGACAGGATGGATTTCTGTACCCCATTTCCTGTATTTCTTATTTCCCAGTTGCATGTGAAAACATTTTTTTTAAACATGTGTTTTTAAAACTTTGGGTTCCAAATTTTCTCTCTTCCTCCCTCCCCACCCACCCTCATTGAAAAGGCAAGCAATTCAATACAGTTTATACATGTGTAGTCACGCAAAACACTTCCATAGTAGACATGCTGTGAAAAACTAACTCTATTTCCCTTAATCCTATCCCACCCCCCCATTTAGTCTATTCTTTCTTTTGACCCTGTCCCTCCTCAGAAGTATTTGATTCTGATTATCCCCTTTTCCAATCTGCCCTCCTCTCTATCATTCCCCTACTCTCTTGTCCCCTTCCCCCCCCATTTTCCTGTAGGGTAAGACAGATTTCCATACCCAATTGAGTGTGTATGTTATTCCCTCCTTAAGTCAAATCCTATGAGAATAAGATTCACTCATTTCCTCTCACCTTCCCCCGGTTCCCCTCCACTGTAAGAGCCTTTTCTTTTCTGTTTTTTTTTGTGAGATAATTTAACCCGTTCTACCTTTCCCCTTCTCCTTCTCCTAGTATAATCCTCTCTCACCCCTTAATTTTATTCTCCAGATATGACCCCTTCATCTTCAACTCACCCTGTGCCCTCTATCTATCTATCTATCTATCTATCTATCTATCTATCTATCTATCTATCTATCTATCTATCTATATACATACATATAATTTTTTCCCTCCAACTACCCTAATACTGACAAAGGTCTCATGAGTTACAAATATCATCTTTCCATGAAGAATGTTAACGGTTCAACCTTAATAAGTCTCTTATGATTTCTCTTTAATGTTTACCTCTTCATGTTCCACTCAAGTCTTGTATTTGAAAGTCAAATTTTCTATTCAGCTTTGGTCTTTTCATCAAGAATGCTTGAAAGTCCTCTATTTCACTGAATGACCATTTTTTCCCCTGAAGAATTATACTCAGTTTTGCTGGGTAGGTGATTCTTGGTCGTAATCCTATCTCCTTTGCCCTCCGGAATATTATATTCCATGCCCTGCGGTCCCTTAATGTAGAAGCTGCTAAATCTTGTGTTATCCTGATTGTGTTTCCACAATACTTGAATTGTTTCTTTCTGGCTGCTTGTAATATTTTCTCCTTGACCTGGGAACTCTGGAATTTGGCTACAATATTCCTAGGAGTTTTCCTTTGGGGATCTCTTTCAGGAGGAGATCGATGGATTCTTTCAATTTCTATTTTGCCCTCTGGTTCTAAAATATCA